AACGTTTAAAATCTTTTTATAGCTCTATACAATTAATTAACAATCAAAGAAAGAATTACATGCGTTGACAAAAAAAAAAAGAATACATGCAGGAAAACTTTTTTTTTTTTTTTTTTTTTTTTTTGACAAACCATCGATTCATCAAGTTACGAAGTAATTAGCAATGATCAATTAACAAAAATAAGTTCATAAGAATGCATATCAGAATTTTAATCTCGATTAATCCTGCATGATCCAACATATATCCACCAAGTTTACTATGTATATAATTTTATACAGTTTGTATCATTCAGATAAATAGAAACAACTACAAAGAATTTTAAATATATAAAGAAGAACAAAAATGTCGTCGTCTCTAATAATTAAGTTGAATTTTTGGGCTTAGCTGAATGTTTCTGGCGCTGTCTAAATGTGGGTGTCCAACAGGCAACGTTCACGTGGTCCTTTCTACATTATACATTTAAATTATCCTCTTCTTCTTATTAAAATCACTAATCATAATATCTTTATGAATGTTTTGTTTTTCTACTAATATTTCTTTGTCTCCAAAAAACATTAATTAAAACAGAAACAGACTATGGTGTAGATAGTTTTAAACTTTTGATGTGTCAAAAGCATCAAGAGTCTTTTATCTTCCTATTTTCTCAGCATTTTCAACATATATACTTGTATCGTTTAAAGAGTTATAAAAAATGTAGTCATACATAAATCTGTTTGGACTATATATATAACATATATATCTCACTTGTTTGTTGGGCCAAAAGGTCGCTGTTAAATGATTTTTAGTAAAAATGTACATAACTAAGAAACCATGATCATTAACCAAATTAAATCACTCGAAATCCGAACAAGATCATAAAGATTCCGATTGTACCATATAAGAGGAGGAAGATGGATCCCGTGAAGACAGTGCAGCTCCTGCAGCCTAGTAGACGCCAATAGCGAATATAATTTGATTCACTTTCGTTTGTTGGTTTTTTTTTTGGCAACATTCAGAACTCAGAAGTACTCTTTATTCGATACATATGCTTTTCTTTGTTTGTGAGATTTTTGTTATTTCGTTGAAAATATGTTTGTCGTAGACTTATATGTAGCCAAGAAGTACTATATACCATTTATAACTTTTCAAATCGATTCAATCTTTCATACCTCTTACTCCACCTTAAATAATCAGAATACTATCATTTATAAAAACTTTCATACTGTTCCAATGTTTCACGACGCTAACTTTCAAAGTTTACTCTATATCTTTAAAATTTAATAATATGTACTATTTTTTTTTCATATTACAGTATGCACGAAACTGTCTGCATAACTACAATCAACATATAGTAGTAATGATATATTTTATATTAAAACACCTATTAAAGAATATTTGTCGTTACCATGCACTTACATCTAGAGCTAAGATATAATTACAATATATGTTTCCTAGCATAAATTTCCGGAACAGCATGTGATGAATGAATATATTTTGAAGATATAGTTGTTGACAAACTAAAACTTTAATGTTAGAACTATGAAAAGAAAGAAAAAAACATAATTATTCATGATACCAAAAATACTAACACACTATTATTTTTTTTTTTTTTTTTTTTGTCATCGATACTAACACACTAATAATACACTATAGACAGATTTTGACATTATATTTCGATATGATTCAAAGGTTCAAAAAACTGCTAAAGAAAAATTGAAAAATATATTTTTCTTTAAATGAATTAATTGTGTTTCGCTCATGTTATGAGTTTGAGTCTCAACGTGGATGAAAGTGGTCGCTTCTTCCTCCTCGGAAAACAATGCATCTTCATACAAATGAACAAATTAAGTTGCATTCCAAATCATCAACATGTATATAAACGTTATCCGACTAATCTATATGTGATCAAATTAATTTACAAATGTTATAAAGAGATCATTATATAGTTAAAGTATACTCTATGATATCAAAAGTGGGCCTATAGAAAGTTTGAAAATGTACCACCCAAATAATCAATACATACAGCCAATCAAATAATAATATAGTTTATCATCTCAAAAACTCAACAGTATAAACCCTACTCCACCATCTTCTATCTCCTCACAAACAACATTGTTGAAAATAATGGCACCAATCAAAGATTTTATATCCAAATTCTCAGATTTCAAGAACCACAAGAAACTCATTCTCTCCTCCGCCACAATAGCCTTGATCTTATTTGCCACCATAGTCGGAGTTGCCGCCACGAAATCAAACCAAAACAAAAACCAACAAATCACAACTATATCTTCGACCTCACACGCGGTTCTAAAATCCGTTTGCAGCTCGACTCTTTACCCGGAGCTATGTTACTCCGCCGTGGCAGCAAGCGGAGGAAAAGAGCTGACGTCACACAAAGACGTCATTGAAGCGTCGCTTAACCTAACAACCAAAGCCGTGACACACAACTACTTCGCCGTCAAGAAGCTGATCACAAAGAGGAAAGGCTTGACGGCGCGTGAGGTAACGGCGCTTCATGATTGTTTGGAGACAATCGACGAGACGTTAGATGAGCTTCACGAGGCGAAGGAGGATCTTCATATGTATCCTACGCAAAAATCTCTGAGGAAACATGCCGATGATCTCAAGACACTAATCAGCTCAGCCATTACTAACCAAGGAACTTGCCTCGACGGTTTCTCTTACGACAACGCTGATAAGAAAGTTCGTAAGGCGTTACTGAAGGGTCAGGTACGTAAATATTCTACTCTTTTAAAACTTTAGATTATAAACTATCAAATACTTACTTACAGCTTGATCAATGTTGAATGGTAATCAAAACAGGTACACGTGGAACACATGTGTAGCAATGCATTAGCAATGATCAAGAACATGACAGACACCGACATAGCCAACTTCGAGCTAAGAGATAAGTCTTCCACCTCCAACAACCGCAAGCTCATGGAGATTACCGGCGACTTAGACGGCGAAGGATGGCCACATTGGTTATCCGTCGGAGACAGAAGGCTTCTTCAAGGGTCAACGGTAAAAGCAGACGCTACGGTGGCAGCTGACGGAAGCGGTGACTTTAAAACGATAGTGGCGGCTGTAGCGGCGGCGCCGGAGAAGAGTAGCAAGAGGTTTGTGATACATATAAAGGCAGGGGTTTATAGGGAGAATGTGGAAGTGTCGAAGAAGAAGAAGAATATAATGTTTTTGGGAGATGGTCGAGGCAAAACTATTATCACCGCAAGTAGAAATGTCGTCGACGGAAGCACCACCTTCCACTCCGCTACGGTTGGTAAGTTAATTATGTAATACAAATCTTCTTTGATTGTTTTTTATTATATTTCTTAAATAATTTTTAAAAATTTTAAGAATATTTAGTAATTTAAAATTGCAAGAAGTTAATATATAAAGAAATTAAGAGTGAAGAATAGAAGAGAAAAAAGAGAGTAAACAACTGAATTTTTTATATATAATTTTTGGATATATAGACCATATTTTCCATTATACGTTATGTATTGTGATATATATATATATAGTGCTATGATTTTTGGTAAACGTACCACGTACACAAGAGACATTTGTTCATATGGACAAAATAATTTAATGATGTTATGTTGCATGTGTTATGTGTAACGTTTCACTCGTAAATGGTGACATAGACACACCATTGTATCTAAATCCACGGTTAGTAATTGTTTTGTATTCTATTGACTGTAGCTGCCGTTGGCGAGGGGTTCCTAGCACGTGACATCACATTCCAAAACACTGCCGGTCCGTCGAAGCATCAAGCCGTGGCTCTCCGAGTCGGTTCAGATTTTTCCGCTTTCTACAACTGCGACATGTTAGCTTACCAAGACACACTCTACGTCCACTCAAACCGTCAGTTCTTTGTGAAATGTCACATTGTCGGAACCGTAGATTTCATCTTCGGAAACGCAGCCGCGGTTTTACAAGACTGTGACATAAACGCACGGAAACCAAACTCGGGTCAGAAAAACATGGTCACGGCTCAAGGACGGTCGGATCCGAATCAAAACACGGGGATAGTGATCCAGAATAGTAGGATTGGTGGCACGCCGGATCTTTCGGCAGTGAAAGGAACGTTCCCGACGTATCTTGGTCGTCCTTGGAAACAATACTCGCGGACGGTGATAATGCAATCGGCTATATCCGACGTGATCCGACCGGAAGGTTGGCATGAGTGGAGCGGGAGTTTCGCTTTGGACACTCTGACTTACAGAGAGTATTTGAATAGAGGAGCAGGGGCAGGAACTGCAAATAGAGTGAAGTGGAAGGGTTTTAAGGTAATTACAAGTGTGACAGAAGCTCAGCAATACACGGCTGGTCAGTTTATTGGTGGTGCAGGCTGGTTAGCGTCTACCGGTTTCCCTTTCTTGTTAAGTCTTTGAAATTAAAAAAATTCGAGTTATTATATTAAGTCAATAAAGATTGTGTTTATCAAAATTAACGTATTTGTTTATCATCTATCTATATGACTACATATCAATAAAGTCAATTGCGAAATCAAGCCTGGTATAGTTTCTTGGTAAGCCGGGATCATGTGTTTGGAAGCCCAACGTAGGTGTTGTGTCACTTGTCGGAGTTTTAAAGGCCCTCAAGAGATATAGATGGGAACGCCACTTGTTTAGAAACGCACATGGCCATTTTTAATATTGTCAAGATAATGTTCTTTGTTTTCTTCAATTTTGATTTTATTTTATTTTATTTTGGTAGATATTTATCATGTGTTTTTGTTTTTGTTGTTTCCATTCCAATGTGTATATTTGAACAAAATATACCAACGAATCCCTACCTTGTGAAGAATGTTCGCTTTCCAACGGGCCTACTAAATACAGTAGACTTTGAGTCTTTAAACCAAATTAGCATCTTCATATTAACTTTACTTGATTATGATGAATGGTTTTGCAAAACATGGTATGGTCAGTACTGGGTATGGTTGCAATTGATTGCAAAGATGAAAACAAAAGTTACATAATGGGAGACTCTAATTAAAGTTTAAATTAATCAAATGGTTACAAAGTAATCATGAATCTTCACATGCAAATAGATCACAATCACACACACACACACACTCGCACACTTACACACCAAGGAAGGAAGCCACCATGGTTGGAACAAGCGCGTCTCACGTTCATAGATTCACACTTTTGCTTTTTCTCCACTTACATTAATAAGACAACAACACATGTAACTCTGACATTATTTAAGAACAGAACATAACAAACCTCACAAGAATCATAGTAAACCAAAAAAAATCCTAAAAACCAGGAAAACCGAAAAGGAGTTTTGCTTTAAGCTTTCTTGGTAGTACTAATGGATTCTGTAAACTCTTTCAAAGGATATGGAAAAGTAGACGAAGCTCAAGATTTAGCATTGAAGAAAAAGACAAGAAAACGTATACTTCTACTTACCATCTCTGTCGTGGTCCTCGTCGCCGTTATAATCGCCGCCGTGATCGCCACCGTCGTCCACAACAAGAATGACGAGTCAGCACCGGGTTCACCTCACGAGTTAACACCATCCACTTCACTCAAAACCATTTGCAGCGTAACCCGTTTCCCTGAATCTTGCATTAGCAGTATCTCGAAGCTTCCATCTTCCAACACAACAGATCCAGAGACTCTGTTTAAGCTCTCGTTGAGAGTCATCATCGATGAGCTCGATTCTATTTCCGATTTACCGGAGAAGCTATCTAAGGAGACGGAAGACGAGAGGATCAAATCTGCGTTAAGGGTTTGTGGAGATCTAATCGAAGATGCTTTGGATCGACTCAACGACACTGTTTCCGCCATTGATGACACAGAGAAGAAGACTCTGTCATCTTCCAAAATCGAAGATCTCAAGACTTGGCTAAGCGCTACGGTGACAGACCACGACACGTGTTTCGATTCGTTAGACGAGCTGAAACAGAACAAAACAGAGTACGCGAACTCGACGATCATACATAATCTGAAATCCGCCATGGGGAACTCAACAGAGTTCACAAGTAACAGTCTTGCAATAGTATCCAAGATTCTTGCTGCGTTGAGCGATTTGGGGATTCCGATTCACAGGAGAAGAAGACTGATGAGTCATCATCATCAGCAGCAAAGTGAGGATTTTGAGGAGTGGGCGAGACGGAGGCTGTTACAGACGGAAGGTGCGAAGCCTGATGTGACGGTGGCGGCTGATGGAACCGGTGATGTGAAGACGGTGAATGAAGCGGTGTTGATGGTGCCGAAGAAGAGTTTGAAGATGTTTGTGATATATGTGAAGAGTGGAACGTATAATGAGAATGTTGTGATGGATAAGAGTAAATGGAATGTTATGATTTACGGCGACGGCAAAGGAAAGACCATTATTTCCGGCAGCAAGAACTTCATCGACGGCACTCCTACTTATGAAACGGCGACGTTTGGTTAGTCTTCTTGCTTTTGCTGATGCTTATTTTAGTTCTTAGTTTAGAATTTGGAGAAATTGAATATAGCCAATTGAGAATTGTTAGAATAATATTGAAAGTTTCTAGCCATTTGTTATTAGGTTCGATTAAGTTTCTTGAGACTTGACATTGTTAGAGCAACATTATAGGTAGTCTTTAAATTAGGATATCTTAGCATTAATTTAGTATTAAATTTGAAAAAATAGAGTTTAAGAGTTTTGATTTTGTTTTTAGTTTTGAGATGTGTTTATTGGTAGGATCTTAAGTTGGGTATCTTAGAAAAAAATGATTTTAATTTTTTTTTTAAAAAATTATAATTTGTAAATTAAGAAAATCCAAAATATCCGTCATTTTACTATCCAAAGTATACAATTATGTTAATTTAAGGAAGAGTTTCAAAAATACTCCTTATTACTACTACTAAGTTATTAGTGCGTGTTATATGCACCTAATCCAACTGGTTGTGCTTTAAACGGTAACAAAATCATAGTTATATATATATATATATATCTAACTAATAAAGTTGGTTATAAAATACACTCAGTTGCCTAAGTTGTTCATAGAGGGGGTTCATGTACTAAGGTATTTTATAAAAAATTATGGCAATATCTCCAAATTAATTCGCTACATAAAACTTGCATACTAAAAGTTTTACTTTTGGCGCAGCTATACAAGGCAAAGGATTTGTAATGAAGGACATAGGAATCATAAACACTTCCGGAGCAACAAAACACCAAGCGGTGGCATTCAGATCAGGTTCTGATTTTTCCGTCTATTACCAATGCTCCTTTGATGGTTTCCAAGACACGCTTTACCCTCACTCCAACCGGCAATTCTACCGCGACTGCGACGTCACCGGGACAATCGACTTCATTTTTGGAAGCGCAGCCGTTGTTTTCCAAGGCTGCAAAATCATGCCACGACAGCCTCTTCCTAATCAGTTCAACACCATAACCGCTCAGGGCAAAAAAGATCCCAACCAAAACTCGGGGATGTCGATCCAGCGATGCACTATCTCTGCAAACGGCAATGTGATTGCTCCAACATATCTTGGCCGGCCCTGGAAGGAGTTTTCCACGACCGTTATTATGGAGACTGAGATTGGACCGGTGGTTCGACCTATCGGGTGGATGTCATGGGTTTCCGGAGTTGATCCACCGGCAAGTATTGTGTATGGAGAGTATAAGAATACAGGCCCCGGGTCGGATGTAACCCAGAGAGTTAAATGGGCAGGGTATAAATCGGTTATGTCGGATGAGGATGCTGCAAAGTTTACCGTGGCTACACTTTTACATGGCAGTGATTGGATACCGGCGACAGGAGTGACGCACCAACTGTCTTAATTTAGTGACATTATATAATTGGATTTTCAGATTTTTTGTTGCAAACATCCGATTTCGATCCACTTAATATACTATTTGTTTGACACTGTTGTATGATCTGTATTTTGTCCAACTTAGTTGTATTTTGTGTATCCCTAATAGTATGATGTATCTTCTTGAGGTGAAACAATCAAAGACTAAGGAATCTTTTACCATAGGAGCCAGATCAACATTAATACAAAGTTATAGATCCTTGTTCAAAATCAATTTAACTATATGTAACATATGTTTTCAAAATGGTTTTAGATCCTAGTACTATTTTGTTCTTAATTTTTTTGTGGATTCTGTGCAAAACACATGATGCAAATGCCTAGAGCCAGTCATTTTAATACAAACTTACCTAACCATACTAGAATAAACAAGATTAACTTGCATTTGTAGGACAATATTCGGGCATGACAAATCTGTCCATATGGGCTCCTAGTCAGGACCAAACTACAAAGCCAAGCCTAAGCTAAGAGCAACTTACAACAGACTAAAATTACAATACAAACGCAAGTTGTAAGATAGGAAATTTTCAAGTCATATATCCGAGAGATGTTATTGAATAACATGGGGGACAAATATTCTCTTACAGAACAGACTAAAATTCTGATATGAATCCTCAATCTAACAGACAGAAGTAACAAGTTTTGTGACACAAGCGGATAGGTAAATTACCCGAATTGAGATTTTTTCATCATAGACGAGCGATGACTGCTTCGACCTCTTGTGGAGTGTAGAGATGATAAGCTGGTGCTACCTTGGCAATATCCACGTTATTTGGAGTCACCTACACGAGCCAGAACAATTAGATGAATCAAAAAATTCTGTGAACTGTAAGTTTGGATTGTAAAGTTTGTACCTTTTCTTCCATAACTTGCTTGAGGATAGACACAGCGATCGTCTCAGCTTCTTGTAGAGACAAATCCTGCAACAAGTCAATGGAACTTAAGGTTTTAATGGAAAAGTTAGTGAGGCAAAATGATTAATTGAGAAACAACTGGAAAAAGTGTTTAAGTTACTTTGTTGAATTGCTCTTGAAGAGAACTGTCAGCTCCTTCTGAGCCTGAACCGATGGCCTTTGCATTGCACTGCCAGAATGTTCCTGAGGGATCCGTGTAGTACCTGTAACAAGACAGAGTAATTTACAATAACATCAATCAACATCTCTCACAAGACAGAAGTGAATAATTAGTTGAAGAAAGCTATAAGAACTTACAAGCTCGGCCCGTTTTCGTCATGACCAGCAATGAGAAGTGATACTCCAAATGGCCGAGACTGTAGTAACATTAATGAAAAAGAGAATCAGTACCTATCTCTAGTGAGTATATCTATCAACTAACGACCATATCACGGTTAGTTATGGTAATCAATGATTTCGTTCAATCCTAAAGCTTAAGCTGAGAGATATTAGAGCAACTAGAGATTCCAATTTCGATTATTACCATTGATTCTTCATCTCCTTCACCAAACCGTAAAGCAAGGTCACATAACGCTTGTGTAGTAGACTCTACAGTCATCGGCTCACCATATGAGAATCTATGGTTCTGTACAACAACAACAAAAAAAGCAGTCAAATAACACATATAGAAGGCCTTTCGAAGCTAAAGCAAAGAACCTAGAAACAGAAACCTCACTTGAGTCTCAACTCTCGCATGCTCAACAAGTGTACGCGCATCAGCAATTAAACCGCTCATAGCACAGCCAATATGGTCATCAATTTCCATAATCTTCTCCACGCTGCTCGGTTCCTAGGAAAAGAAAAGAACATTCAACATAGACTGAGAAACTATACCACCATAACGAACAAAGAACGCTAATACTTCATCATGTTCCATTGGTGCAACCAACATATTATAGAACAAAAAATTGAATGTAAAAAGCTATACCAGCAATGTTGAAGTGATACGCTTCTCGACAGCAAGCACAACTCCTTCTTTAGTCTTTACTCCAATTGCAGTAGAACCAAGCTGCAACAAAATTCCATCGAATAAACAAAGAAATGTGAGCTAGATTTGTGCAATTAGTTAAACCAATAATAATAAAAAATCCTAAAAAATCAATAGTTATCCTTTTCTTCAAATTTCTCTAATTTTCAAGGGAAACTAACAAATTTGGAGGAATGGAGAAGTTACCTTGATAGCTTCAATGGCATATTCGACTTGGAATAGCCTTCCTTCAGGAGAAAAAGTGTTGACTCCTCTGTCATACTCAGTCCTTCGCACAACAAAGTCAGAAACCACCACATATAAGCCAAAACCAGGATTGTAAGTAAAGGACGAAAATTTCAATGAACCCAGAAGTAGAAGAAGATAGATTCGTTTCAAGACGGAGATAACCTGGTAAGAAACATCTTCGTCTTCTGTGATTACGTTCAATCTGTAAAAACCACTCAAGTCCTTCGCAGAACGGAATCAAAACCCTAAAAGAAAAAACGGATCTAAGTAAATCCAGAGACTAAGAAACTTATCACAATGAACTTGTAGGGAGTGGAGAACCAAACCAGCTGATTGATCTGCGAATCGAAGAAGAAACAGTTGCTTTTGCTCTTCTTTTCGCTTTACAAGACGCACTTCTTGAAGAACAAGTTAGAACATAGATTGATCCGAAACGCAAACGTTTTATTATGGGCTTTTAATGGGCCTAACTATCTTTATCATGGGCTACAATTAAGCCTTTAACCTTCTTCTTCTTTTTCTCCATTATGTAAATTTCATCATTTGTACTGAAAATGATGACACAACTATTAAGACTGGCAAATTTGAACATGTCTTCAATGTCAGAATTTAAGTGTAACAATAAAAGAAAAAGGACAAAAAATGACAGACCTCCAGGTTTTTTTTTTTTTTTTTACTGTACACAATATAAATGTTTTTTTTTTAATTTTTTTGTGTGTAGCGAGTGGAACCAAACAGAAGAGAACAAAAACAATAGAAAGAGTGTTGTCTCTAGGAAAAGCTGTGAGACTTCTATACACTCCTTCCAGACGCAAAAGTTTGTCTTTGGGTCAGTCTCTCTTCTCTTATTTTCTCTCTATATAAGCAAACACTCACTTTTGCATGACAGCAACAACAACAACAACCATTCAAATTTAGTTACCAAAAGACAACAAGAACAAACCTCCATTTTCATGTACATTGTACAATAAGCCTTCTCTAGTGTTATAGTGTTTTTGGTACCAATTTTAGAACTCCCAAAAAAAAAAAAAAAAATTTCATAGTCTATAGACTATAGTACAATCATGTTACCACCCAAATTTAAACCACAAAATTACAATTTTATGTTCAAATTCTTTTTTCTTCTTCTAATACTACAAATTCAAATCTGTATATTGCTCTACTTGAATTTTGACGATATTTTTCTTTCTTTTTTTCTTGCATAAACAATAAACGAACATACATGTTTAATAATTTAAACACATAAACAGTGATTTCTTATGTTTGTTTATGTGTATTTTACTCTCTTTTTTAAGTATTCTTTTTCCTTTAAATTGAGTTAGCGACAATTATTGTTGCAAGGTAAACAACCACATGAGCTACGGCCGGTAACCAAATAGCCACGGCGGTTTGTTAACTTCCTGGCCGTCTCGGCCGCTCTCTGCATCTGCTCGACATGTTGTTGCCTCGCCGTAGCTCTCCAGTCTTCTGCTCTCCGGTGCACCACATCCATTCTCTTCATTAATTTCTCCTCTAAATTTGATCTCATCTTCTGTATTTTCACCTATAAACAGTAACATACCACCCAAAAAACAACACATTAATTATTGGTAAAATTATCTCTCAACTTAGACTGATAAGTGATAAGATAATATATAGCTAGGTTAATAATTAAATCAAAGTCTCCAACTTCCCAAGAGAGGAAACTTACTTTATGGAGTATTACTAATCTTTTTCACATGGGTCTTGCACAAATTACAAGTACGACTATCATGTAGCTACATACCCCCCAGCCCAACCCACAAATTAGGTATTAATTCTTGAAATATCATCATTTCGACTGGTATGATTATATATAGCTACATAACTAATGCAAAACATGTAGCTATGCAATAAAATACTATCAATTACTTTATACATAATCTAACAAGTCTCCAAATTCCCAAGAGAGGAACTTACTTTATAAAGAAGACTAATCTCTTCACATGGGACATGCACAAACTACAAGTACAACTACAAAGATGTCATCCCATATTTAAAATTCGAAACTCAGCTCGAAGACTTTGCGTCCACAAAGAAACAAAGACTAGTCAATGAAGCCGAGTTCATGCATTTTATTTCTCTAATCATGGCGCGTGGCTCAACAAATCCATACAAATTAGAACATAACTAAATAAGTATATCTCAAAAAGTATACGTAGATACATATGTACACACATACCTCAAGTTTTCTGGATTGAGCTTCGGCTTTAGCGTTTTCGAGATTAACCCATGCCTGGATTTTGGCTTCTTCTCTTTGATACCTACAAAAAGATTCAATTTTTTTAATTTACCCAAAAACTCAAAATTTCTTGATTTTCATAATTTCATCAAGATTGTGTTTTTCATACCTTTGACAAAACTTGATCTTGTCGTCTTCATCGTCCCACAAAACAGCTTTAGATTCAGATACACTTCTCCGTAACTCACTCTCCATATCGAAATGTCTCAAACTCTTTGATATCTCTTCCTCTTCTTCTTCCCTAGAGTTCCAGTGACTCGCCACCGAGTTACAGTTACCATACTGACTCGCTGTTGACCCACTGAGTCTAAGCTTGTCTGCGAACTCGGATATGTCAATGACGTTCTTGGTTTCCGCTAACGGACCGGACAGTTGCGAAGGCGTGTTGTGTCTCGCCGGAGATGTGCTTTTAAACGGCGTGTTACATCTTGAAGTCACTAAACTTCCGATTGGTGTCATCTCTGTTCCGATGTCTCTGTGTTGAACTTGACCTTCCTCGTACTGGAGAAACTTGTCGGAATCTTTGAATATAAACCCTTCCGTTGATGGAAGAATCTGTTGCACCTCGTTTGCTAACTTATCTGATAGAAGACAGAATCAAAATTTCAACTTTCAAGTATCAATTCATCAAAAAGACCTTAAAAGGTGTCTTCTTTTTATACCTTTAAGGATAAGATCTTGTGGAGATAATGAGACAGATCCATTGAAACATTCTTCCGTAACCCTAGATTTTTCCGAGTATACAACTTCCACCTGCCAGAAAACCATTCTTGATTCAGTTTACTGCTGCATTCTCATTCAAAGATTCCAACTCTATCCAATATGTTTAAGGAGTTATTGAGAAACAAACCTGGTGTTTAAACCCATCAAACTGGGTGCTTTTGAGGGAATGTGCTGGAGAATCATGACTAGAGGTGACCCATTTCTCAGCATCAATCCATTTAGAAGGGAAGTTTCTTCTTCTACCAGAGACATTGCTACTGAAACTGAAGACTCCTCTACCTGGAGTGCAAGGAGACTCCATTAACATCACTCTTCTATGCCCACTGCTTCTTCCTTCTCCAACGCTCTTCTGTGATGAGAAACTTGGTCTTCTTTCGTTTACCATCTCACTGCTGCTGCTACTGCTTTGGTTTGATGAAATTGGCAGTGACTTGATGAAATCTGCAGTTTCCTTTAGATTGATTCTGCTTGTAAGTGAGTCTTCTACAAAAGGGTTTGTGCTAACATTTGAGTTTTTCTCCTGAAAACCAAACAAAACAAAGTTCAAGAACACAAGGAAAGAGAGATGCTTTTGAGCTCTGCAATCAAAAGACATAGTTTGTTTTACCATATTAGGAGGAAACAGAAGCTGAGTCTGGAGATGGAGCTTGGTGTTGCTGTTTCTTGTGATGTCCATGGAGTTCTCTTTTGTTTTGTTTCTACTACTACTGTTGGGGTTTATTTTGGTTTAGTTGTTGTCTGCATCTAATGGAGTTGTTATATTGTTTTTTTAGAAGAGTGATGAAAGAGAAGTTGTAGATGTCTATAGAAGGAAAAAGGCTTGACCAGTTTCTCAGAGTAGACCATTTGTCTAAAGGGTACTAGTTTCATGTAATAGAGTACACATTTACATTTTCATTATTCTTTATTTTTGTTCTATCATTTTCAAGTTTTGGTTTTATACTACGCTTTAGATTCTGATCTGAATCACTATAAAATGACAAAATTGTGTAAAATAAACAATGTTTTTTAATTAAAAAAATTAATAGAATGGCTAAACAAACAAACAAGAACTAATTGTAATAAATATATACTCATGTTTGACTCTATCAAAAATAAATGTAAATTATGATCACTTTAATCGTATAATCATCTTATATACAAAGAATCATGGGCTTATGTTGATTATACTAATAGCAATTCCGAAATTTAAGTCTTTTTCTAAAAGTTATCTTCATATTTATCAAAACAAGAACTTTAACAAGTTAACCATGCTTGGCTTATTATAGGATACATCAAACTGAAGTAAATAGATTTGGATGGTAATTTAGGAAGAAGAGAGAACTGGGAATAGGTGAAGAAGATAATAGTAGAGTATAGAATTAGAGTAGTACAAATATAGAGTGGTCATGGAGAGACTCTTCACTCTTGGGGGAAGTAGGAATGCATCAAAAGATGTGGCTCCTCTGTCTCCTATATTCGTAAATCGTAATTTTCTTTTGGTGAAGTCTCTATATTCGTATTATATAATGATTATCAATTTACCATCATACTATTATATTAAGGCCCATGAGCTATATTAAAGACTTAAAGAATGTAAAGGCCCATAGAGTGACACTTGTTTCAAAGATATTAACATTTGGTGACATTTTTATAAAAAAAATAAGATAATTGTATGTGAACAAAACAAATATTAACTGGTAAGTCCTAATGAACAAGAATTTAATGTCTAATTTTTACATACAAAGCTAGATTATAAAAATGAAAAGAAAAAAAAACTAAACCACAATTTCAAAAATATTAAAATAAATTTATGTCTTTTAAAGTATTAATCTACTAGTCAATTTATGTTCAACATATTGGACATTGTCCTGAAAGAGTAATTGATGGGTAAATTTATAGGGAACTACAAATGATATATGGATCGAGTAACTTGAATTTGTTCTACCTGAGCTAGTTTTATCACTAAAGTATTAGTTTATTAAATGATCCAAATTCCAAAGGCACTTCCACGACACCAAAGGCTCTATATATAATGCGTGAAGAATAGTAAAACCTTCACTAATCACTATCAAAACCGTTCACGTACGCTCTTTCCAATAGATCGATATATATTTCTTGAAATTAAAACATGAAGATATCTGACTCGTCTCTCGGCTATTCAACATGAACGCATTGAATCATTTGCTCCTTTTAAATTGCCATCGTGGTTGCATTTTATCCATCCATTAGAAGGCTTGTGCCAAGTTGTTTTTGCCTCAGACGTTATACAAGAGAATGTTATAGATCGTTTTAAGTCTTATCTCCTGGAATATTTACATTTGTCAACTCTTTTTACATCGTCTCGTGCCTTTCTCACATCCGCTAGCAGAGATTTATATATATATATATATAATGAAAATCAACTGATCATATCTTGATTGACAAAGTGTTCACATAAGCCAAAAAGGTGAAAGCAACAACTCGACATTGTCTTCTAGGTTACACCAAGTATGGTTTAACTGATGATATATATAGCGGGAGGTTGAAGCCAAAGTATGTGGCCAAATGAAGAGGACGTGATGAATTGTCTCCCTAGCTTGGCAGCATCGTCGGCAACATGGGAAAATCGAAGACCAATTCCCATATATATATTTTTTTGTGCAGTATCATTTCGAGAAACTGCCAGCATTTACCAGCAAAGAGGATGCAAATGCAATGAACCGAAATCGAAGACCAATTCTATAGCATATGTATCAACTAATAATTGAATTTCTGTTACCATATTCACTATATTGTACGTATGTGCATGAGATATATTTCTCTAATATACGAATCTCACACGTGACAACGACGTTTACGTGTATGTACGTGTTACAAAAAAATTAAGATATGTTATATGAACTCTCCTATCTCACATATTCAACATGTGGATGAAGACCTTTCTATTAATTATTAAATTGTCTTATATATGATACACCAGAAAACTGAATTATATATTACTAGTAGAAGGTGTATATAAAAACGAAGAAGCTAAAACTATACTATCTACCAGAGTCAGAAATTAAATAAAGCATGCAAATATATAATCCGATACCTCCGGTGAAAACCATGGTGAAGATTTATCCTCACCTGGCGTTTCCGGTGGATTCGGGTGTAGTACAAGACAAGAAGTTGATGTACTTAACGAAGGAGCAAGAGAGCTTCACGATTTGGATGAAGTCTTTGGTGTTCCATAGCAAAGGCTGCACAGTGTTTGATTCCAAAGGAAGCTTAATCTATCGAGTGGACAACTATAACTCCAAGAGTTGCGGTAATGACGTTTTCTTTATGGATTTATGCGGGAAAGTTTTGTTTACTTTACGTCATAAGGTAATAAATAAACTTATCTATCAATGCATTTTCTAAGAAACTATATATCAGTTTATATTTTTTTTACTTTGAGAATAACCTTTTTGTTAATTATGTGTATATAGAAATTGGGATTATTCAAATCTTGGGAAGGATATAACTCAACAGGGACAAAATTTCGACTAAAAAAGAATTTCAAGATTCTGCCAAATGGTTCATCTTCGTCTTACAAAGTTGTAATGGGATCGCTCATAGCTGATGATGATCCACGATCGTTTTATAAAATCGTAAACCGCGGATCCGTTTTCGCAATAAAGGATAGATCAGGAAGATTAATGGCCGAAGTTAGAAATAAACAATCGGAAGTTAGCGGTTTGGATCTTGGAAGAGATGTTATGACAATGGTGGTGGAGCCACAAGTAGATCATTCTTTAATAATGGGCATTGTTATAGCTTATAATCTTACCAAATGTAAATTGTGATAATTATTTGGGTGAGGGTGTACGTAACTTTAATCAGAGCTGTTATATAGTCTTGAAGTTAAACATTGGCATAAACCCCAAATCTCTCGTTTAAATTTGGATTTTGAATATTTTTCACCAAACTGTGGAGAAGCTCGGCATATTTCATCCTCGATTGAAATAATATGAAATATGTGAATTATGTTTCTATTTGCTTAGATATAACTCGGTAGCTTAGATACTTTTATATTATAACTAGCTAATCTATATATAGACGGAGAGAAAATATAAATATTTTCATGATATTAGAGCTAGTTTCAAGACCATGATTACTCGGTTTCTGCTGTCGTGGGAAGGCCCTTTATATTAGCGTGATTTTGTGTAGGCATGTACGTAACAATTCCATAGCTAAGTCATTTGTTTATGTAAGCAATATCTTTAATTATCTAACCATGCTTGGATTATTATGTTCGATAAGCTTCAAGGTTGCTTGCAGCCCGAGACATCATTAATAAGTTGGTTAATGACAAGATAGGCTTAAAGGAAATTGTCTAGTTATAATAGGAATAGGAAATATAAGTTTTCTATTCATAATAGGGTTAGTATAGATATTCTACTTCTATAAATACCTTGGTTGAGTTGTGATCAAAAGTATGAGCTTTGGTGTTTAGTTTTCAGCTATTTTCTAAACCTAATAAAGAGAGCCGTTCTTAATTCAAAGCTTAACAAGTTCTTTATTTGGTACTAGTAAAGTCTTTTGATTTGATATTGTAACTTTGGTGAGAAAGTTAATTGACGTGATCGAGCCATGGGAGACGCCAACGCTCCACGCGCAAAGGACTTCGCACCACCATTGATCCAATTCCCCATGCTAAACGCATCTAACTACACGGTATGGGCCATGAGGATGAAAGTCTTATTGAAGATATACAAGGTATGGGATACGATCGAACCAGGATCGGAGGAATCTTATAAAAACTATGTCGCAATAGGACTATTGTTTCAAGCTATCCCGGAAGTTCTTATTTTACAAGTAGGTGAACAAGACTCTCCAAAAAGGATATGGGAAGCGATCAAAGCACGATATCTAGGAGCTGATTGTGTCAAGCAAGCAAGACTTCAAACTCTAATGTCTAAATTTGATAGAATTAAGATGGAAGATTCAGACACGATAGATAGTTTTGCGGGAAAGATATTGGAGATAGCAACGACATCAGCTTCTCTTGGAGAAACAATTGAGGAATCCAAACTTGTGAAGAAAATTTTCAATAGTTTACCAAGAAGCAAGTTCATTCAAATCATTGTCGTCCTTGAGGAATTGTTAGATTTGAACGCAACTAGTTTTGAAGATATTGTTGGAAGATTAAAAGCATACGAAAAAAGAATTTTTGATGAGGAGAATAACGAAGAATCTCAAAGCAAGCTTTTATACGCTAATACATATCAAAAAAATTATGGAACATCACGAGGTCGAGATCAAAGATATAGGGGACGTGGAAGAAGCAGATTCAACTCACAAGATAGGACAACAAATCAAACCGATCAAAGCCAAGAGAAGATCAACCGTCGGATATGAAACTGTGGGATATGAATTAACAGATTTGGATGGTAAATAAGTGGAATTGGAGGAGAAGATAATGGAGCAACAGTAGTGGTCATTGACACTCTTGGGAGAGTACGCATGCATGGAAAGATAATAGAGAGAAAAATTAACATCATACGATTTTATTAAGGACCATGGGTTCAGATTCTAGTTTCTGGACCATAGACTTGTCCATTTCAGATGGGTTCGTATCTATTCCGAATTTTCCATCACATATTTTTTTTTAATGATATATTAATAAATTATTTATAGGACGATATGTATTATTTCAACATAATACCTTTTAACTAAATTAATAAATTATTTTTAAAATAAGTTTTCCACATAGCCATATGAAAAGTGATTTTCAATTTATTCGTCTCGACAATAGAATTTACAGTTAATCTGCTCTTCAAAACATTCCTTGTGCAGTGTCATCCCGATAAACTAACTGTCAGCATTGGACAACGGAGAGAAGAACACACATGGAATGGACCACAACCGAAGACCCATTCTAAGCCTATCAACTTAATTATTGACATTGTCTTTTTATATCATATAAGTAATTTTATTTATATATTTTTCTCTATTATTCGAATCTCACAATCACATTACTCACGTTACAGCGACCATACATGTATTAAGAAACAAAAAGGACCATACATTTATATCTTTGTATAATAAAATGGATACATGTTATCGCTATATGTTTTTTCTCTGTTATTTTTATTTGGTATCTCACATTGAACATGTGGACGAAGACCTTCGTATATATATTTTGTAATGAGACACACCATGAAACTTCATTACTACTACTAGAAAGTATAAATGTCGAAGAAGACATACCATTATTATTCAGTACCAACCATAAAGTTTTCCAATATATCGAAACGATCGAGACCAAAGTTTAAACTAAGAAAACTTCTTCAGCAAAGAACATGGTGAAGATTCATCCCGATGACAAGGCATATCCGGAGGATTCCAACGTCGGAGAAGACAAGGTTTCGCCGTACTTAACGAAGGATAAAGAGAGTTTCACGATTTGGATGAGATCTCTTGTGTTTCATAGCAAAGGCTGCACAGTTTATGATTCCAAAGGAAACTTAATCTATCGAGTGGATAATTATAACTCCAAGAGTTGCAGTGAAGTTTACCTTATGGATTTATACGGCAGAGCCTTGTTTACATTACGTCAAAAGGTAGATAATAATATAACATTCCATTGTATCCATCATGTTCTTATAAATTTTTGTATTTACTTTTTTTTTTTTTTCTAACCCTTTTTTTTTTTCGGTTATAGAAATTAAGATTATTCAAATCTTCGGAAGGACATAACCAAACGGGGACAAGATTTCGACTATGTAAGAATTTCAAGATTTCGTCAAGAGGTTCATCTTCGTCATACAATGTTATCATGGGATCGCACCGAACTGATGATGATCAACAATCTTGTTATAAGATTGTACACCGTGGATCGGCTTTCACGATTGAAGATGGATCAGGAAGACTAATGGCAGAAGTTAAGAAGAAACAATCGGATATCAGAGGTTTGGATCTTGGAAAAGATGTGTTGACAATGATGGTGGAGCCACAAGTTGATCATTCTTTAATAATGGGTATTGTCATAGCATATAGTCTTCTCAAATGTAAATTGTGATCATTATTTGGGTGAGATTAAACTATTTTGTAAACTTTAGGGTAGTAAGTGAGAATATACAAAGATTTGAGGAGCCAGATGTTAATATAATTATTAAGTAAGTTCTTAAAGCTAATCAAAACGTAATTACAATTTACAGGCATAAACCTCAAAGTCCAAAGTCTCTAGCTTGAAATTAGGAATTTTTGAACTTTGAAGAATTCGCCAAAATGTGGAGAAGCTCGGCTTCGTTCATTCTCGATAAACATCAGAACAACAAACCCATTTCTCTAACTCATTCAATCGATTCACCTCCCCCACCATCTGCTTCAATGGCGGATGAAAACCCTAACCCTAATCCTATTTCGGCGTATTACCAAACCCGAGCGGCGCATCATGGAATCGTGACTAGCGAGTGGCTTGAACAGGCACAAGCCGCGGTTCGACGTTACCCTGATCATGATTACTCTGTTTCTCCAGTTTCGGGAAGACCCTTTAGCGTGATTGAGGAGTTTAATAATTGGAGACAGCAGCCTGATTTGGCGGAGGCTGTTGCGGCGATTCGTGCTCTTGCGGCTGTTATTAGGGCTAGTGAAGCTACTACTATGATGGAGCTTGAAATTGAACTTAAGAAAGCTTCTGATACTTTAAAAGTAGGAGTCTTTCTTCGTTGTTTGGAAATTTTAAGTTCTGCATATTGAGTTACTTGGTGTTGATACTGCTTATTCGTCCTGGATTCAGTCATTGATTAGTATGCTATTAAGTTCGCTACTTAGCATTGAGTAATTCAGTTTTTTTTTTTATGCTTCATGCCCTGACAATAACTTAGGTTAGTAGTTCCGAATTTGTGATCGTGGCATTGCATTGACTTATGGATTTGTTATATGTGAAATTCTTGTTGGCATAGTAATTTCTGGATGCTAAGTGGCATATCTAACGAACATGCTATTTTGCAACTTAGATTTGATTATTTTGATGATAACTTAAGTTTAGCTTGTGAGTACATGGTAGATTTGATGTGGCACTGCATTGACCTTGTAGCGTTTTGAACTATACTTGGCATATATATGTCCCATTAAAATTTTTGCATTTCTCGAGTTTCTTGATCGTTAAGACACTTTGGTGGTGCTAAAGAGAAAGATAGGTTGGAATTTCTATCTTACTGGATATCTTGATGGTATGTTTCTGGTTATACTTTGCTTCTTCTGTAATACTATATTTCTTTGAAATATTCTGTTTGTTTGGAAATTAGCGATTGGTTTCGTTAGTTTTGAGTGTCATATGGTATATTTGACTCCTGCTCAACTTGTAGCTTTCAGATTTTAATGAATATGCTAGTAATTTGCAACTTAAAATCGATTATTTTGATGATAATTTAGGTTTAGCTTATGTGATCATGGTCTTGCATTGATTTTGTAGAGTTCTGACATACTTGGGAATTTCTGCAATCTGCGAGTTCCAAAGGGAAAGATAGATTGAAAGTTGTTTCTTTTTGGATAATGTGTTTATGGTTGTAATTTATATCTTCTGTGATGCTATACTTCTTTGAAAAATTATGTCTCTATGGAGATGGGGGATTGGTGGATTTCGTTAGTCCTGAGTGTAAGATGATAGTATTTGAGTAGTTTTCCGTTATTTTGGAGGTTGAACTCTAAGATGTAAGGTTGTCTTCTTGTTTCAGTCATGGGACACAACATCTATATCCTTAACAGCTGGATGTGATCTTTTCATGCGCTATGTGACTAGAACTTCTGCTTTGGAATTTGAGGACTTCAACTCTGCAAAATCCCGCGTGCTTGAACGTGCTGAGAAATTTGGGGAAATATCTTGCAGGGTCAGTGGTTTTCTTAGAATGGATTTTGCATGCATAGATGGTAAAGTAGAAGAAGAATTTGAACAGTTATTTGATTTTTGCAGGCCCGAAGGATAATTGCAATTCTTAGTCAAGATTTCATTTTTGATGGGTGTACTATACTGGTCCATGGATTCTCCAGAGTTGTATTTGAAATACTAAAGACATCAGCGCAAAACAAGAAAGTCTTTAGAGTTTTATGCTCAGGTGTTTTTCTTAGAACTCTGAAATCAATGTGTGTTATTCACTGGTTGTCTCATTCTGATTTTCCTAACCGCTTCTGGCTATCTCTCATTCTGACTTTTCTAACTGACAAACACATTTCCGTGTCACCCATGGAAACAAACTCCAGAGGGAAGGCCAGACAAAACAGGTGTACTGTTAGCTAAGGAGCTTGCGAAGCTTGATATTCCGGTGAAGCTTCTGATAGATTCAGCTGTGGCCTATAGCATGGATGAAGTAGACATGGTGTTTGTTGGAGCTGACGGAGTAGTTGAAAGTGGCGGGATAATTAACATGATGGGAACTTACCAAATCGCGCTTGTCGCTCACAGTATGAATAAACCAGTTTATGTAGCTGCAGAGAGTTACAAGGTAACCACTCAAACTTTAAAGTCTTCTCACTGTGGTTCTAGAAACATCAATGATTCATCATCCTCCTTGTTCTGTTCTTGCAACGGCTGCAGTTTGCACGGCTCTACCCGTTGGATCAGAAGGACTTAGAACCGGCCTTGAGACCTATTGATTTCAGTGTACCTGTTCCTCCTAAGGTTGAGGTAGAAAGATCTGCAAGGGACTACACGCCTCCCCAGTACTTGACTTTGCTTTTCACTGATCTTGGTGTTCTCACTCCATCTGTAGTAAGTGATGAGCTGATTCAGCTTTACTTATAAGTAAAGCTGTCTTCTTCGTCGTCCTAAAGCTGGTCTGAAAACTCTCAACTTTTGGTAGAAAAATAATAACACTAACATTGGCCTTACACAACATAGTTCGTCTCTTATTACTGCTTATGCACAAGTTTTTAGGTAGGAGAGCTATCTATGTTACTTGTAATCCTTTACTCAAAACATTATAACAACGAGCTTTAAAAACATTACTGACTATTATAGAACTTTCGTTGCAAAGACATTCTGTGAGGAAAAAAATCTGTGGAGGGTACATCATTAAGTTAGCTATATAGCTTTTCTAACATAATTTTTTCTTCGATATTGTTTGATTTTATTTTTTCTTTCTAATCTGTTATAAGTATTTCTTTCAACATTTTCAAATGTTTGATAAATTAAAATAATATTTATGCAATTCATGCGAGTGATGTTGAAAAGTTGTAATTATTGTAGTGAAGTGGTGAGACGACCTATAATGTTTATAATAATAATAATATGATGACATGATGTTTTAGAAAATGAAAGCATGAGAAACGTGATTGAATTAAAAGAATGGTAACTTCTTATTATTTTAAAATCTCACGGTGCAAAGTAAGTAACTAATAAGAAAACACCGGCCACCACATTTTTGACCACTTAAAATCCCACGTTTTTAAACCAAAAAGGCAAAACCTACGTTCTTTCTTGGAATTACCATATTAATAGACGTTTTTTTGTTTTTGTTTTTGTAAAAAAAGATGGCAAAGATACAAACCATTTACTAACGCTTTCATGTATAAATAAGTAACATTTATTGAGTTTCACGATTCAAAAATGTGACTATATATGTATGATAAATTGATAAACTAAAGTAAAAAAAAAAAGAAGTAAATTTTAATTGAGACATAATTAAAAAGACACATCATCATCACTCTCCACATATCAGCTGAGAGATATCAAACCATTTTTATATATTCCCAAAAACCATTCCACTTCACCACCCACTTCATCTCTCTCTCTTCTCAATTCTTCTCTCATTTACACTCTGAGTTTTCAAATCTTGAAGGATAAAGAGAGTAAAATGACTAAAAAAATCTCAGTAGGATTGCAGCTTGTGACGACAAGAGACTCAAAGGAAAAACTCAACAACATAGTCATCAAATCCTCACTTATTAGACTAAACCGATCCAATCCAAACATCTCGGAGCTTTGTTTCCTCAAAACTTGTCATCTCTGCATGAAACAGCTCCCTCTAGACAAAGATGTTTACATGTACAGGTACCAATTCTTTTTTACTATATATCTGATACTCTTTATATAATAATCTAAACACGATGTGTTCTTGATTCTCAAAGACTTTGTATTTTCTTTTTCTTTGTTTTTGTTATAAAACAGAGGAGATTTGGGATTTTGTAGCAGAGAGTGCAGAGAAAGTCAGATTTTGATTGATGACAGAAAAGATTTAGAGGCTTCGACGAAGATGATGCTGGCTTCTTACAGAAGATGTAACTCCGGCGCCGGAAAAAACGAATCTGGGAATCTGTTTGATGATCTCCGGCGACGACCCCAATTATTTATTGTTCCTTGAGGCTGGAGGCTTTTATATGAATCAGTCACTAATTATAGCTTCTTCTTCTTCTTCTTTTTTTTTGGTTATTAGTAAAAATGAAAGAGAGATCTGTTAATTGATTTGTATCTCCGTTGTCATTTAATAAAATGGTAAATGATAATTGGATTATTATTAAATATGGTAATTAATACTCTCAGGTGGGATCATTACTGAAAAATGCTTATTAATTTGGTAGATTACACTTGTAGACACTTACACGTTAATTAAATTAGTGAGAGATAATCTTATCCAAAGTGTCATACCCTATTAAATATTTACAACTAAGCGCAATGATTTATTCGAAGAATATTCAGATTGGATCTTGGCATGAAGGATTTGATGAACTGGATAAAAGAATAATTAAAAGTGGAATATCTCTCTGAAATATAAATGATTCGATTTGTTTTTGTTTTTTCCCCTAATATACATATATGGAGATATTTTGATGTATGGACATAGACTCTCTTTTGGTTGAAGATATGAACAAACTCATTTAACCACGTGTTGAATATTGTGTATTTATTTATTTAATGTTTTTTTAGACTACTAAAAAAATCGTTATTATTATTACGTTATTTGATTTTTGTCCTCGTCAACAATAGAAAATAAACAATGTTCGAAGTCTCGGCCCAAATTTAAAAGTTCAATAAGTGAAACTAAAATGCAAGTGTTGTTAAGAGCAATAATGGATCCATACGGCCCAAAAACAAACGGTTTGACACAACTTGCCTTTTGTAAAATAAATAATACGTTCTCTTGTCTATAAAATAATCATATTAAGGAGAAGTTATTGTTCATATTATTTAAGCATTCGAGTTGGTTGAAAAAAAAAAGAAAAAAATTATTGGATTTTCCGTTTTTGTTTTTATGTGTTATGTATATTTAAGAACTACAAAAGATAAGATTTATTATATATATATAAACAAAAATATGGTAGAACCGTAGTAAGTGTAATTTCCAAATCGAGTAATACAGTTGTTGTATAGTAAAGATAATTACTTCAAATTCTTAAAAGTCAAGGTAGTGAAACATATTAACAAATCATTGATGCGTTGAATGAAATGACCATATTGAGATAAGCTAATTTAGGAACTTGTCTCAATCGGGCAAATAAGATTCGGACCCCCCTACCACCTCTTTTTTTATTCGCCTCTCTCTCTCTCAATTTGATCTTAATATTATCATATATACACTTGAATCTAAGTTTTCTTATATATAAAATATACGAAAACACCTATTTATATATAAGGCAGTACAACTTCACACGTTTCAAAACTGAACTTTTTATATATAATTAGCAGTTGACCCGTGCTCCGCGCGGGAGGTTTATATTTTTGTTTCGTTGATTTTTTTTCATATTGTGATATTTTATTATTTTTTTAATTGATTTTCAAAAAATATTATAATTATTTTCACTTTAGTTATTATCTTTCAATACTCAAATTTGGATTAAAAGCATTTGATTCAATTTGTGAAATATCATTTTTTTTCTTTTTGATCATGTTATAAACTAATATTTCACTTTCATTTTATTTTTCCTCTTTATAATTTTATATGTTAAATATTGTTTTAGTCTATCATAAATTTAAATTTTACTTCCATTCTAAAACTCAGTAACAAATTTAAAATATTAAATTATGATCAATTTAAAATGAAAGTTGAATTATATTATTACCACTAATAAAAAATTAAAGTATTGTTTTTCTTATTTTAACATTTCATTTTTTTGACATAATTTATTTTTATTTATATAAACTTTTTATTAATTAAATAAGTAACATAAATATGCACTAAATGAATGTTTTAAATTTATTTTAATATTTAAACAAAAATGTGGCTTAGGTGGCATCATGAGAAGAGAGAAAAAGTTAACTTTATATATATAGATAGATAAGAGAAAATTTAGTGAATTTCAAACAATTGTTTTTACATAATTACATCTCACAAAAAAAGGTTTAGTTTTATAGGTTACGCACCAAATTTTTTTACCTAATTTATGATTGCAAATAAATGTAACCTAACCAATTTAATTAGAGTTAAGGAAATTTTAAATTGAGTATAAGGAAAAGCAATTAAAAATTGATTTGGAATGCGAGTCATCCAACTAAATATAAGAAAACGACAAAACAAATTTGTTAATTTTATTTTTTTCCGGGTTTGTCATGACACGACAAAAAAAGATTTGTCATTAAATTAAAAAACTCAATTCTATCAACTTGTTCAAAAAAAAAAAAAGCTTCAAGAATATATCGTACGTGTCCTTGCACACGTAGATTCATAAATGTGTTTCTGTCCTTTGTTTACAGTTCTTAGCCTTTTATGCACAACCTAGCGTAAAAGTCATAATTGTCCTCTCTCGTAATCAAAATTTACACATTCACGAGTCCTTTGTATAGTTTCATTTTATAGCATTTTTCAATAATTCATTTATTTCGTATCTGTATCTCAACATTTTCAATTATTTATTCATATTGTGAGTTATTTAACTTCAAGTTATCTATTGTGAGTTGGCTCCTAAGAGAGGAGAAAACTTTACTTAATGTAAGATATAATTTTGAAACTTTTAGACATATTTTTTTTTTCAGACAAACGATAAATAACTTGATTAGAATAAACTAGTTGGAATAGACTAGTAAAACAATTACGTCAATACCAAATAAATGATATAATTATTAAATTAGTTGGATGATTTTTATAAATTAATAAATTTAAACAAAAACTAATCTAATGCTAAGATTCTTATTAGAAAGTATATACTATATGACTTTAAATGGTCAAAAAAAGTAAAAAGGAAATAGACCTTAAGAAAAATTCAACAAATGTTTGGTAAAAATTGGTTTAGACTCTTTTGTCTACCAGCAGTCAAATCTGACTAAATTTAATCCTATTTACTGCCACTAACCCTAATTAATTACTAAATCCGGATTTCACGTAAAATAAAATCTATAGCAAATAAATATAAAGTAGGATAGTACTGTAAATAGTAATCAAGTGAAGGGTATATTAGTAAGTAACCACATACTCGCTTCATCTTTATTTTACGCTAAAAAAGCCATTTCTCAAGAACAAAGCAAAGAGTTGAAGAGAGAAGAAGAAGAAAAAAAAAGTATCAAATTTGTTTCTATTTTCGCCGCGAAGATTCTATTTCTGATCATTTACACCCTCGAGAGTCACACCCGCCATGTGTGGAGGAGCTATTATCTCCGATTTCATTCCACCGCCGAGGTCTCGCCGTGTCACTAGCGAGTTTATCTGGCCGGATCTGAAGAAGAATGCGAAAGGATCGAAGAAAAGCTCGAAGAAGCGTTCGAGTTTCTTTGATCTTGACGATGAGTTCGAAGCTGATTTCCAAGGTTTCAAAGATGATTCTTTTGTCGACTGCGATGATGATTTCGATGTCGGTGATGTCTTCGCCGATGTGAAACCATTTGTTTTCGGTGCAACTCCCAAACCCGCCGTCTCCGCCGCTGCTACCGCCGCCGAAGGTAATATATTTTCCGGATATTTGGTTTAGTTTGAATTTGGTGTAAATTAGGTTTCGATTCAACTAGCTCTGTTCATTCATCATGATTGTCTACTGTTTCATATCATGATTTATTTTGTGTGAAATTAAAACTTCAGATTTCTCATCTCTTGAGAAATTAGCTTAGCCTTGTTGTTGAATGAGCTAAAATTTTGATTTTGAGTGATCTGTGAAGCATGAAGCTTTGATTCGTTGCTCTTTGGAATCATCTGTTCTTTGATTTGTGTGATGAAATTGATTTGAGTCTATTGATGAGTCATATAAGAACTCTTTTGTTTGATTGTGGTTATTCACTACTAGGTTCAACTTTTGGCAAGAAAGTTGCTGACGTTGTTGGAGAAGCTGAGAAATCTGCAAAGAGGAAGAGGAAGAATCAGTACCGAGGGATTAGGCAACGTCCTTGGGGCAAATGGGCTGCTGAGATCCGTGATCCAAGAGAAGGTGCTAGGATTTGGCTTGGAACGTTCAAGACAGCTGAGGAAGCTGCAAGAGCTTATGATGCTGCTGCACGCAGAATCCGTGGATCTAAAGCTAAGGTGAATTTCCCTGAGGAGAACCCTACCGTCTCTCAGAAACGCCTTGCCAAGGCTAGTCTTCAGAAACCTGTGGCTAAACCTAACCCAAACCCAAGTCCAGCTTTGGTTCAGAACCCAAACAACTCCTTTGACGATATGAGTTTCTTGGAGGAGAAACACCAAGTGAATAACAACAATCAGTCTGGCTTGGCAAACCTCATCGATGCTGGAGGTAATGGGTATCAGTATTTCAGCTCAGACCAGGGTAGTAATTCATTTGATTGTTCTGAGTTTGGTTGGAGCGATCAAGCTCCAATAACTCCTGACATCTCTTCTGCCCTTATCAACAACAACAACAACAGCCCAGCTCTATTCTTTGAAGAAGCCAATCCAGCAAAGAAGCTCAAGTCCATGGATTTCGAGACACCATACAACAACACTGAATGGGACGCTTCTTTGGATTTCCTCAGCGAAGATGCTGTAGCGACTGAGGACAATGGTGCAAACCCTATGGATCTATGGAGCATAGATGAGATTCATTCCATGATTGGAGGAGTCTTCTGAAGAGATCCATTCTCATGTAAATAAAGCTGCATGTTAGTGAGTTTCCATCATCCGTTATCAACCTCCAAAGACTTTCTAATATCTGTTACTTTTCATCTTCTGCTGTCTCTTGTTGTCTCTCTCAGGAGTTGCTGCCCCGAAAGCTTGTTTGCATTGCAAGAGCCAAAGAGCCTCTGTCTTGATGGTGTGATCATGTTAAGTAGAGGCTTTAATTTTAGGGGTTGTGTTCTTGTGGTAGCTTTTGTTATAAACTATTTAGTGAATCTTTGAATTCGTTTTGTGTTACTTTGTGCCCCAAAAAACTTGTTTAAAATTCGTCATCGTAACATGTTTGAACCTCATATCTCTGTTTTAATCAAATAAATAATCTTCTGTGAGAAATGTTAAACATAACAAAGAAGACACAAAGTTAAGCTGGAAGGACCAAACCGGACGAGAAACAAGGAGTGGTTATCGTGAAATGATTGAGGAAAAGAGCGGTGGTGTGGGTTATGTATCATCAAAGTGATGTAGCCTAGAGAAGTGAGCCACTTTGGTGACATTGTCGTACAATGAATCTAGAGGGAAAGACGTCAAACGACGACGTTAATCGACAGAAGAATCTAAAAGTTGAACTTATCCTTTTGCAAGTGGTAACTAGTGTGAGTTTGTATCTTTCTCGTGAACCCTTTTTTGATAAAAGATAACGAAAAGGAGAAAATAAAATAAAAGAGACAAGGTAAATTATTAACTCTTCTGGACACTTCTGCTTCTTTAGGTCGTTTTTTTTTTTTAGTCGGCCAACTGGTCTATTATATTAGATGTATGTTACATGAGAAGATACACATCAAAAAAACAAGATACAACCATAGGAGTCTGATTCGTTCTAGCTTCTCTAGCTAGCATGTCAGCTATTACATTGGCTTCACTTCTTATAAATTTAAATTTGTAAGAACCTTTTGCTAGCGCCAAGATATCTTCGATGTAGCTTTGAATTTCTGCAACTTCCTTAGCAGCATGCTCTCCATTTGTTAGCTGATCTAAGGACCTGTCAAGAATCTTTGAGTCTCCACTAAATATAACCGGATAATAATTTAAACGCTTGACTTGAAGGATAGCTTCCCGGAGTGCAATGGCCTCTGCTTCCAGCGCAGTCATTGTAGGGTCTATAGATGAGGAGCCCTTGATAAGGCATTTACCTTGATAGTTGTGCAAAGACCATCCTTTAGGTCGTTTTCACCCCATCTGTAATATAAGTACACATTTTACTGAAATTACTACATACATAGAGTCATAGAGATATTCATTTATATGTACTTACTTGGTGGATAAAAAATATTTAATGTTCATAATAAATTGAGTGCATTTTTAATACCAGAAAGTTATATTTATTCATTTGGAAACAAAATATAAAAAGATATACCAGAAAGTAACTTTCTTTTCTATATGTACTTTTTGTTTTTGTTTTTTTCTTACTGAAGTCTTTTTTCTATTACTGTTGTTAGTAACCGTGCTACTATCAAAATGCAATCCAAATTAAACATTGGGTGCATGTATGAGTAATACATTGATTAAGAATACTAATATCAACACATTTGTTTGTTTTTTTTCCTCTTATTGTGAAGAAATTAGTTATCTTATAATTAGGGTAATGCATTGATTAAGAATACTTATATCAAAAATCATTTGACTTCTTTTCAAGTCGTTGTATATAAGTGTGGACACACATTTTTATATTGTAAATAAATACATAGTCGTGTCGACATGTCTCTAACTTAGATTAATAAAGCAAATGATTTGGTCGTCTATATATGGTTGTGTAGACACACAAAAACACACACAACACGAGGTCTTAGAAATTTTGTGGTACTGAATGAGAGAGTCAACATTAATGGAGAAAGTAGTCACAAGAAGAACTATCTCCTTCTCCTTCATCTTCTTTCTCTTCTCCTTCAACGTTATCTTTCTCGCCGGGACATCATCAGCGAATGTTTCTCACGACGGTGACAATAATAATGTGACGGCTTTGTTCCTCTTCGGAGACTCTTTCTTGGATGCAGGAAACAACAATTACATCAACACCTCTACACTTGACCAAGCTAATTTCCCACCTTATGGTCAATCGTTCTTTCATGGTCTCCCCACCGGAAGATTCTCCGACGGTCGTCTCATCTCCGACTTCATCGGTGAGAAGATTATTCTTATACTATTAACTCGTGGTCTTATTTAAATATATATATATATATATATATATATATATATAGTATTGACTGGAAATGTACGTTAATGATAGCGGAATATGCGAATTTGCCGTTAATTCCGCCGTTTTTGGAACCCGGAAATAGTCAAAAGAAGCTTTACGGCGTCAACTTTGCGTCTGCTGGTGCTGGTGCTCTTGTAGAAACCTTCCAAGGTTCGGTACGTTTATTATCATCTTCTTACTTTTTTTTTTTTAATTCTATTTTCATTCCCTAAATGATTTTTCTTAAAGTATATAATTTTGCATTAGAGTGTATCGAATTAATAATAGAGATATCATTGGATTAATTGGTCTACAAAATTTGATAGAAGTTGATTTATATATAAGCAAATGTGTTTGATTAAATGATTGCATATGGAGGTTGTGTGGGTTTTGAGTTTTTGACCCGATTATTGTGGCTGAATTAATTGACCAATCTTCTTTAAAATGTTTTTTCTTTGGTCCTACCGACGATTTGTTTTTGTATCTTTTTACATGCTTTATTTAGATATAATAATAAGGTAATTCCTTTTTAAAAATTATTAACCTAGAGAAAATGTAGTACCCACTTACTTGTTTAGGACAAGTTAGGTTTTAAAATTTAAGGTTAGGTAAGATGTATTATTCTATGTTGTTCAACGTGGTGACCAATTTCCAAATAATTGTAAGGTGATAAATCTGAGAACACAATTGGATCACTACAAGAAAGTGGAGAGATTGTGGAGGACAAGATTTGGTAAAGAAGAAAGCAAGAAGAGAATCTCAAGAGCTGTCTATTTGATAAGCATTGGGAGCAATGACTACTCAAGCCTTTTCTTGACAAATCAATCTCTTCCCATTCCAATGTCTCGACATGTTGACATTGTCATTGGTAATCTGACTACATTCATTCATGTAAGTTTCTCACAATCATCATCATCATCATCATAATATAATGCATATTTTGTTTGCATTCATTTATTCGTTATATTATTGTTTTGTAAATAGGACATATACAAGATTGGAGGACGTAAATTTGGGTTCTTGAATGTGCCCGACTTGGGGTGTTTTCCGGCTTTACGAGTACTACAACCGAAGAATGATCATTCTTGCTTAAGAGATGCTTCAAGATTTGCAAACATGCATAACAAAGCTCTGAGTAATCTCCTGTTTAAGATGCAAAGACAAGTGAAGGGCTTCAAGTTCTCCCTCTTTGACATGAACAAAAGCCTTAGACTCAGAATGCAACACCCTTCTAAATTTGGTAAGTGGGCTCTTTTTGAATTCTGTTGGATTATCTTTAAATGGCCCATTAGAATATATGTTCATAATTCGTCCTTTATGTGATAAATAAAAAGGGTTTAAAGAAGGGGAAGAAGCATGTTGTGGAACTGGGAAGTGGAGAGGAGTATTCAGCTGTGGAGGGAAGAGAATTGTGAAAGAATATAAGTTGTGTGAGAATCCTAAAGATTATATATTTTGGGATTCACTTCATCTCACACAAAACACTTACAACCAGTTTGCAAAATTAATTTGGAACGGTGGGCACATGTCAGATTCACTAGTGGTTGGTCCATACAATATCAATAAGTTATTTCAGATTCCTTGATTTGAGTGTATTACATTACACTATATAATATAATACACATGGATGTTTATTCTGTTCATTTGTTACAAATATGTTCGTTTCATTTGTAAATCTAAACCATTTGAATTTATTAAAACTCAACTAGTGACATATGCTTGTACAAGAAAAGAGAAATGCTAATATGAAACTCCAATTCCAAACTCAACTAGAGACGCAGTACCAAGTGAAGAATCGAGTCGTTCAGGATGCTGTAGTCGGCTACGGTGAGCCCATCTTCGAGTTGCTTGCCCATAAATATCAGCCTCTGAACGCTCACCGGGGTGCCTTCTCTATCCTGGATCTTGGCCTTGATGCTTTCAATGGTGTCGCAGTTTTCAACCTCTAAGGCGATTCTCTTCCCTGTCAAAGTCTTTATAAAAACATGCATGAATTCAACGTGACAGATGTCCGGTCCAGTAATTTGAAGAGTCGGGTCGTCGTGGATCCTAAGGTCGACAGTTCTGGAGCTATCGACTTCGAAGTTGATCGTTGTTTTTCCATCATTGGTATTTTCAAAACGCCGCATGACTGTACTATGACGAACGTTCGTGCGATGGGTTGGGGTTGCTTCTTCGTCGATTTTGAGGTCGATGAGTTTGGAGATATCCACCTCTAGGTTGATCGTTGTTCTCCCATTGACAGTCTTGATAGAAATCTGCATTGTATCACGTACGTACTTGAGAGAGTTTGACAGAAATTTTTTTTTTAACTTAATTTCTCAATCTTTTCTAAGTTACACATGAACAACTATATTTTCCATTATCAATTGTAGTTTTTTTTTGGCGCATCAATTCCATCATATCTTTTTTTTTTTTTTTTGGTTTACAATATATGTCATCTCATATTTTTGATAAAAATCCTGGTAGGTTTTCCAGATTATGTATACAATAAGGTGAAAATACTATTTTTCACATAGATAAAATTAAAATGATGCAATGTTTGATTATTACTTATCCACTAGAGTGATCCACAAGAAAATGATTCCTCCTGCACGTAACTTTCTTCCACGTCGCACACGATGTGTCATTTTTTTCATTTATATATATGCTAACTTTCAACAAGACGTAATTATAGATTACTAGAGTCTAATACAGCCTGATGAAGAATATTCATTTTAATATGAATATTTTGACTAGATGTATGTAAAAATGAGCAGGTAGAAGTAGTAGATGCATTATATAAATCGTGAGTCTGTCTGCGTCAACTTTAAAAACAACATTTCGAATTCGAAAATTCAAAGTGTAAAACAATTTGACTACATGAATATAAAAAAACACCATATCTAATTAGTGAAATATATTATCTCCACATGGATCACCTTGTTATCTATAAACAAAACAGAGCATTTTTATATAAACAAGACATACTATTTACGATAACACCAAGAACACAACATGGAAAGCTCTAGATTAGTTTCGATATTCTTCTTCGTTTACACGATAGTCCTATCGATTGGTTCGATCATCTGCAAAGACAGCAACAATCTCGTAACGAACCAAGCCGCTCTGTTCGTGTTCGGAGATTCTCTGTTTGATGCTGGAAATAATAATTATATCGACACTTTCTCAAGGTTCCGGTCTAATTTCTGGCCATACGGCCAAACAACGTTCAAATCTCCCACCGGAAGAATCTCCGACGGACGTTTGATTCCTGATTTTCTTGGTAACGATTATAAATTTCCGATAGCATATAATACTCTCGACAAAATTTTAACAGTTTTTTCCACTTAATTACTGATGTGGCAGCGGAGTACGCTTGGTTACCGTTGATCCCGCCAAATCTACAACCAAGTAACGGTAATAACCAATTTACCTATGGGGTAAATTTTGCTTCAGGTGGTGCCGGAGCTTTGGCCGGAACCTTTCCCGGAATGGTAAATTAATATATTTAGTCAGTTAGTGCAATTTGTTACATCAATATAAAACGGTGAAAATTTTTCTTTCTTAATTATCTTTTTCACTGTCAAGGTGATAAATTTGGAGACACAGTTAAATAACTTTAAGAATGTTGAGAAGAGGTTGAGATCAGAGTTAGGAGATTCAGAGGCTAAGAGGATTTTTTCAAGAGCTGTTTATCTATTTCATATTGGAGCCAACGACTATATTTATCCCTCCTTAATTGCTAATTCTTCAACTTTCCAATCCAATTCGAAAGAGAAGTACTTCGATTTTGTTATCGGTAACACAACTGATGCAATCAAGGTAAGTAAAAAAAACATATCGAAACTCATTTCAAAATACTGTTTGTTTTTGTTTGTTTGAAAATGAGAGATTGTGTTTTTGTGCTTAGGAAGTGTATAAAATTGGAGGAAGAAAGTTTGGATTCTTAAATTTGGGAGCGTACGATTGTGCACCAGCTTCATTGATTATAGACAGAACAAAGATAGGTTCTTGTTTCAAGCCACTCACCGAGTTGATCGATCTGCATAACAAGAAGTTTTCAAATGTTTTAAGGCAGTTGGAACGTGAACTATCCGGATTCAAATACGCCCTTCACGATTATCACGCTTCTCTATCCGAAAGAATTAACAATCCTTCAAAATACGGTGAATAAATACACACATAGTAATTACATGTAGTAAAGTAAAAGATTTATAATATGTGTTTTGTACTTGTTTAAAGGGTTTAAGGAAGGGAAAAAGGCATGTTGTGGGACTGGGCCATTGAGGGGAATCAATACATGTGGAGGTCGAGTTTTGGGACTAGCACAAGGCTACGAGTTATGTGAAAATGTTACGGATTACTTGTTTTTCGATTCTTTCCACTTGACAGAGAAGGCTCATCTACAGATCGCAGAGCTTATTTGGAGCGGACCGTTGAATGTTACCGGACCTTATAATCTCAAAATCCTGTTTGAATTGAAGTAGTTTTTTGTCGATATATACATATTTATTGGTTTGGAAATAAAAGACGGACGAGGTTTCTATTTTGTCTAGTAGTTTAGCTATTTTCAGTCATTTTATACGTGTTGTTTATAAAATAATAAGAATTGATTCATGTTTTCAATAATATGAACAATCTGTTCATAAGATATTTTTTTAATTACAATTACTAATACTTTAGACCGCAAGGAACATGCATAGGAAGATAAATAATGGGTTTATCATGTAAAACAAATCAGAAAGAGAGGAAGTCTAGATTAGGTTATAATTTATTTTACTATTCTCACTCCCCATACATTGACAAGGGCCTTTAAAATCACAAATCAAGCGCAAAGCTTACCATGATAGAGGGACAGCCAGGATAAAATCAAGTATTGTCCCATCCTTGATACCATAGTCGGTTATGCTGCGATTATCGTCGAGCTGCTTCCCAAAACAGACGAGCCTCTGATCAGCCACTAGAAAGCCCTCTTTGTCTTGGATTTTCTCCTTGACGCTTTTGATGGTGTCGAATACCTCAACTTCTAGGGTCATGCACGTTTCAACTATATCCCTTACTAATATCTGCATCATCACTCCACACGAATCTTGACACCTATTCTCGTTTGAATCTGCTCCAGAAAAATCTTTATGTGATTCCGTGATTGTATACTAACCCACCAAAAATTACAATGCATATGAGAATCTGAGAGCATTTATAGATCCTTGGGAGATTTTCATTAGTTTGATTTCATAATTTCCCATGATAACTTTTCCTATTTTTTTTACCCTTTTTGGAAAACGTTGTTCGGACAGATATGCTATTTAGTATTTATGATCCACCGTTGTGAAGAAAACCAAGTGACTCTATCTTGAGATATCTACAAGATTACTACAACTTTTGTTATTTGAACGTGTAGTATGAAACGAGTCGTTGTCCGAACATAGTTATCTACAATAATACTACAATCTCTAACGCAATGTAAAATATACTTTTTTTTTTTTGGTGAACATGTAAAATATACTTCTTTAACATTGGTCTACTCAAAAGAAAAGTAGAAAAAACCCATATGTGTGATTTTGCATATATTTTTGTTAGAGGTCAAACGTCTTGTATAATTCCTTCTTTTGACCCTAGCTAGTAAGATTTCCTTTTTGTTGTTTTTTTTTTGCTAAACATGTAAATATCATTAGAATGAAAATATAGGTTTTACATGCAAGACCTAACCAAAAGTAGCCAAGGCAAAAAAAAATAAAACATGACCACAATAAAAACAAGGAAAAGCGAGAAACTATCTAATCCACAAGATCATTAAGTCTCGCCAACACTTCCTATGTCTTCGAGACGATATAATGCTGCGCATCTCCCGGTCCAACATCTTGAAGATACGTAGGGGAGCAATCCTCAAGGAGTTGTGCAGGACATTGTTCCTTTGCCGCCAAAGGTAGATCACAACTTGCGCTGTTCCTTTTTGTTGTTTTAAATGGGAAAATTTTAATACTCCCTCTGTTTCATTTTAAATGAAGTTATAGTCCAATTTTTTTTGTTTCATTATGTAAGTAATATTTTTAATTTTCTATGCAAAATTTAATGTATTTAATATTTTTTGACCAATCATATTTTATACTCCCCCTGTTTCATTATAAGTGATGTTTAAGGTTTTGGCACACTAAATAATAAAACATATAACTTATCCATTTTCTATAAAAACATCATTAACTAATTTGAATTTAGCCAATAAGAAAATATGATGTAAAATATAATTGGTCAAAAAATATTAAATACATTAAATTTTTGCATAGGAAATTGAAAACATCACTTATACTGAAACAAAAAAAATTAGCTAAAACATCACTTATAATGAAACAGAGGGAGTATCATATTTTCTTAATGGTTAAATTCATATTTAGTTAATGATGTTTTAATGGAAAATAGGTAAATTATATGTTTTATTAATCGGTGTGCTAGAACCTTAAACATCATATTCCTAGAGCTAATTAGTCCTTTTCTCATTATTTCCTCTGATTATTATCTCTTTTAACTTTATGCTAATTAAAATTATTCAGATAAATAAACTGAATCTTTCAAATAAAATCATTCAGAGAAATATCAAAAATTGTTTGACATCTTCAATAAACTAATATTACTTGTGATCAAGTCAGGAAAATTACCAAAAAAGAAAGCTTGAAACATGTAACTGTGTTTAAACGAACACTACATGCACCACCAAGTATATTTAGAACGGATACACTTTAGATAATAAGACGGAAGACATTTAGCAAATACAACCGCTCTGCATAACGACAAGATTCGCGCCTGGTTTGATGTTGTAGTCAGCTATATGGTGCGAGTGTCTTCAAGCTTCGTGCCATGAAAGTTCAGATTCAACTGGTCTACCGGTGGACCTGCCTGATCATGGATCATGGCCTTGAGATTTCTAATGGTGTCGGACCCCTTAACCTCTAGGATGAATGTTTTCTCCTTTATAGTCGACACAAAAATCCGCATGACTGGACCGGGACCAGGATCCGCACCAAGGCCAAGAACCAAATGACGTGTAGGTCCATGGATCTTGAGGTCGATGGTGTCCGAGCTATCCTCCACTTCAAGGTTTATGTCCTTTCCCTTCACAGTAGTAAGCGTGATCTGCATTGCAAGCGTTTCCGTGTGTGTGTGTCTCTATCTCTCCCTCTCTCTTTTGGACATTTATAGAATCTTTGGAGCGTGAAAATTTTACTTTCTTTTACGATTTCCCATAATACTAGTATTTGTTATATTGCCCGTTTATTAGTTGACTATAGTCTCAAGCGTTGTGATTTTTGAAAACGTAAAGTGCCCTTTGATTTATTTTTCTACGATTTCCAGTTTTGCCATTTGCCATTTTTAATTTTCTTCAGTCTTCAGTAAAATGAAGGGGGCATGCATTTCTTAATGTATTTTAACTTAAGTTGGGAAAAAGCAACGTAAATAATGAAGCATTCTTCTTTGAACACAGCTGTATTCTACATACAAAAGAGACAAACGTAGGTTTAAAAAAAAAGAAAAAAAAGAGACAAACGTAGAATGCGATTTCGATGGAAACATCTACTTTCAGTGTTTCGGAAATATAGTTGCGTACTTAAAAACAATGTTCTTAGATCGCAGAATAAAACTCATTTCTAATCAATTATAGTAGCTTTTACCAATGTGTTAGAAAATGTTTACTGTGATTTATTTTGCTTAACAGTATTATTATTCAATTAGTCATGTTCTTTGTGACTACAAAAAAATAAGTGGATTGAATCATTTATTTTGTAACTTTACATTACTTATAAGTGATACAATGAAATTTTACATCACTTATAAAAGTGATACTTATATTGCCGATGCAAATAATTCACATCGGTTTTTAATCAACTGATGCAAAAAAAAAAAGTATATTGTATCAGTTCTTATAACTGATATTAATAATGAGTCAATTTTCAAAAATGATACTATATTTCCTATCAATTTGTAAAAGTGATGTTATTATTTGTGTCGTTTATCATAATCGATGTCAATTATATATATATATCAATTTCAAACAAACTAATATAATTAATTTAAAAATATAATTATTAATTACGAAATAATATACTTAATTACGAAATAATTATTATTAAATTAAAATATTAATTATTTTAATACATTTACTAATTATTTTTTTGTTTGTTATTTTTCCTAATATATAGCAAAATTATGGTGGATATTTTCTCTCAAAATCTTGTTGCAATATATCTACTAAAAATCTAATCAAATATTTATTAAAAAAAATATTACAATTGGGTTTTGGTTTCTCACGTCTAAACACATGAATAATCAATCTTCCTTTGCTCCATGCTTCTTCCTTTGTTAATTGTTCCTTCTTCTGAGAAATTTCAGTTCTTCCTCTAAAAAGCTTCAAATCTTCTTCCTCTAAAAAAACTCTTACTTTGAAGTATCTTTGTCCTTCTTCACCGCAAGAATTTCTTAAGTATGAAAACCAATAAACACACAATGAGAAAAAGAAGAAGAAGAAAGGGTTTAGAAGATGAACTTATCGATATGATTTTCTAAAAAATATAAACCTACATATAACTTGATTCACCTGGAGTTGTATGGTTGGAAAGAAAAACTTCTTTGAAAATTCTCAGAGAAGAGTTTTTGTCGTGTGATGATTTTCATATTTTTTGTTTGTGTTTTGTGAAATGGAGAGAAAAGTTTTAGAAAATATTTATACATAAAAGGAGTTCTCTAATATTTAGAGATCGTGGGTTAGTTGGTGATATTTTGATTTATTTTGTTTTTAATAAAACAGTTTATCAAACATAGTTGACGAAAATAATAAATAAAAGATGAGTACTTTAGAGAAAAAGTAAAAATCATTTTTTGACATTTAAAATATAGAACACAATCGTAAATTAAAATATTATAAAAACAAAAAAAAATTTTGAAAAGTAATATTTTAAATAAAATTATATTATCTTAATTTATGAATTTTTTTCTAATTACCTCGTTTTCTAAAAATATATATAATTTATTGATGCTATTAATATAATTTATTTTAGCATCACATTTTTATGATGTTAATTTTGTATCATTTAAAAAATCGATTTTATCAAAAAAAATACATACATCAATTATCTAAATGATGTAAATATGTATTTTACATCAATTTTTTTTAAGTGATACAATCTATTAGAAATTGAATCAGTTTTAAATAATTGATGAAAATTAGTTAATATTAGCATCAATAATGTAATTGGTGTTAAATTATTTATATTTGCTTCACTTATTAAAAAGTAATTTAAAATAAGATCACTTAAATTTGTGATACAATTTAAGTGATACAATATAGTCATTTTTTTGTAGTTGGAGCTGTCGTCAACATCTAGGTTTATGCTCTTTCCCTTTAACGTCTTGATAGATATCTGCATTGCAAAGTGAAAACTCAGATTCTCTTTCCCTCTCGATCTATAGGACTATATCTATCTCGTATAGGTTTTGTTTTATAATGACCTTTGTGGGAAGAGTTTACTTGTTTTACAATTTCCTATGATACTTATTCGTTCTTTTGACTTTTTTTTGGGAAACGTCGCTTTTGATTAAAGGGCTATTAAATTAGAATCCTTAATATAAAGATGTATTTCCGGTTCAGTGAGTATACCGGTCATTGTCGAGATATGTCAATATCAGTATTAGTTACACTAAAACGTTCTGTTTCTACTGGCCACATTGTATACAACAATAATCGCACGTATGCAGTAGTGTGACCACAATGATTGTATTTGCTTAACAACTCAAAGATCCTTACTTTTTCACTACAATTTCTATTTTATAAAATGGTAATAGTATAAGTTTATACATTATAAGAACAATTTAAAGTAAAAACAAAAAACAAATGGGCAGTTAGAAGATCTATTATACAATCTTATTAATCAACCAAATATGTTGAAAAAAACTATTGAAAACATAGAAAAATAATATATAAAAATTTAGAACAGACCACTTGCCATTATATGAAGAACAAAAAAAGAGAAATTTGCAATAGTACCAATTACACAACATTAAACATGGAAAGCTCTCGATCAGTTTCGATCATCTTCTTTGTTTGCACAATAGCCATATTAATCGGTTCCATCAACTGCAGAGACAACAACAACAATCTGGTAACAAACCAGTCTGCTTTGTTTGTGTTTGGAGATTCTGTGTTCGACGCCGGAAACAACAACTACATCGATACTCTTCCTAGCTTCCGGTCTAATTACTGGCCATACGGTCTAACCACTTTCAAATTCCCTACCGGAAGAGTCTCCGACGGACGTTCAATTCCTGATTTTATTGGTAACAAAATTACTCTGTTTTGTTTCCCGGCAAAAATTTTAACGGTTTTCTGAAAACTAATAGCCTACGTGGCAGCGGAGTACGCATGGTTACCGTTGATCCCACCATATCTACAACCAAATAACGGTAACAATCAATTTACCTACGGAGTTAGTTTTGCTTCCGCCGGTGCCGGAGCTTTAGTCGGAACCTTTCCTGGAATGGTAACTATTAGTTTATTACTCTCAAATTTGTCTATTTTTTTTTTATAGTTGAGTCGATGTTGATTGTTTTGACTTTTTACTTCATTTTTTCTCTTATTTTTACCACTAAAGGTTATAGATTTGAGAACACAATTAAACAACTTCAAGAAAGTCGAAAAATCGTTGAGATCTAAGTTAGGAGAGGCTGAGGGGAAGAGGGTTATCTCAAGAGCAGTTTATTTGTTTCATATCGGAGTCAACGATTATCAATATCCATTCTCTACAAACTCTTCCGTGTTCCAATCCAATCCCAGAGATATATACGTCGATTTTGTTGTCGGTAACACGACCGCCGTGATCAAGGTAAAATAATATCAGAAACTTATCTCAAGAAACTGTTTGTATGGATTCTCTTGTGAACAGTCAGTTTGATCAGTTACTGAGAGCTAGCTTGTGTTTCTATTCTTAGGAAGTGTATAAACTTGGAGGAAGGAAGTTTGGATTCCTTAACATGGGAGCATATGATTGTGCACCAGCCTCATTGATTATAGACCAAACAAAGATAGGTTCTTGTTTTGAGCCGGTCACCCAGCTGATCAATTTGCACAATGAAAAGCTTCAGAATAGTTTGAGACGACTAGAGCGTGAACTAACCGGATTCAAATATGCTCTTCATGACTATCACACTTCCCTATCCGAAAGAATTAACAATCCTTCTAAATACGGTAGCAAACCTTGCTTGATAGTTGCAATTCATGTAACTGATTATCTATAATTAACTTTTGGATGGTTTCAATATGTTTTTATAGGGTTTAAGGAAGGGAAGAAGGCATGTTGTGGAACCGGACCGTTGAGAGGGATCAATACATGTGGAGGCCGAATGGGAGTATCTCAAGGTTACGAGTTATGCGAAAACGTTACAAATTATTTGTTCTTCGATCATTTTCATTTGACTGAGAAGGCACATCGACAAATCGCAGAGCTGATTTGGAGCGGAGAAACCAACGTTACTAAACCTTATAATCTCAAAACGCTATTTGAACGTAATTAAACTCATTTATCCGTTTGCATCTTGCTTTTCATGTTACTGATTTGTGTGTTTAAATTGTTATAATGATTGATTAATCGATTATCAATTCAATAAAAAAATAAATGTGTCGATGTATTGAGACATCAGCTTTTTAAAATCTGACACCTCATGTATAATATGAACCAATCATACACATCGATGTACCCTTTTCATTGGATATAGTTTACCATAGACATACACGAATATCAGATTAAAAGATCGATATTCCATGTGAAACTGAATCAGATTAAACCACACTAACTATTCTATGACGCAATATGCAAAAGTCAGGATGGTATAATCCAAAGAATAATTATCAGATATTTATCGGACTACCAACTAAAATGACAATACACATTGTATAACCTAACACAAATCTTAAAATTACAGAAAATATTGTTTTCAACAAACCTAACACTGAGATTCAAATTTTCCATTTTAAACAGACAGACAACAAAAAATAGTTAAAGTTAAACTTTGGAAAACAAACAAAGACATTTTAGCAACCGCAAAGTTCGGACATAACGACAAGGTTGGCGCCGGTCTTGATATTGTAGTGAGCTATAGTGCGAGAGTCTGCAAGCCGCACGCCTTGTAATAGCAGAGTCTGCTTGCCCACTGGTGGACCACCCTGATCATGGATCATGTTCTTGACTTGTTTAATGGTCTCGGATCCCTTCACCTCTAGGTTGAATGTTTTCCCCTTAAGCGTCGACACAAAAATCTTTATGGCTGCACATTGAACAGGAGCCGAACCCGGAGCCAAATGCATAACCACTTGGCTGATCGGCTCTCCATAGATCTTGATGTCAATTGTCTCGGAGCTGTCATCAACCTCTAGGTTTATGGTCTTCCCCTTCACCGTCTTGACAAGAATCTCCATTGCACCAACCTAAGAGAAATCTGAAGAAAAAAAAACAAAGCAAAACCAAAATCTGAAAAACATAAAGGTTTTGAAGAGGTGTAGATATATACCTTAAGAGAATTTGGAGACAGTGAAAGACAAACTCTAACTAGTTCTCGTCTTTGGGTTTCCTTTTATAACCAACCCATGTTTTAATATTTTTTTACAATTTCTTACCGTTATATGTATGTATATAAAATTTTACCGTTGTAAGAAAACGGCTATTTATCTGTCCTATCAGATTTTTTTTTTAATTTTTTAACATTTTTCGAAATTTGTTATCCAGCCGTTGTGAAGGAAACGTCTCTTTGGTTTAACTCTTTCGTATTTTTACATTCTTTGTTGTTCGAACCGTTTGAAAAACTAATTGGGTCAATATACTTACTTATTCATATCATAATGAACAGAAGCTCTTTCAAAGCTGAGTAATTGTTTTCTAAGCGAGTCCCCTGTCTTGTTTTATTTTTTATTTTTTTGTAATCACTCTTTTGAGACATTTGGTCTCAGAAAAACAAAATTACATTTTTAATTTATGGCAAGATTTGGTCCAATTTCCCGGCAAGACGTCTTTTTAAGTACTTTATCCCGTCAAAAAGTGACTCATGCAGATGCTTCTGATTCTAGAAACGTATATTTTATTTTGAAGTTTTGACTAATCATAAACTTTGATAGTTAAAATATTTTTACAAACAGTAAGGTTCTATGGTGTAGTGGTTAGCACTCTGGACTTTGAATCCAGCGACCTGGGTTCGACTCCCGGTAGGACCTTTATTTTTACATCTCATTTTATTCAAATTCGTTCACTCAAGCAAAAATAAAATAATATGATCTAACTATCAACTAATCAACGATTCTGTTTAGTGCGAATATATGTGACGAACACGTAATTATAGATTTGATGTATATTAATATACAAGTTTATTCATACAAAAAAAAACGTGATCATATGAATACTATACTATATAAAGAGAAAACAAACTAGTGTATTCAGATAAAAACTAGGTTCGGACCCGCGCTACAGCGCGGGGGAAATAATTACATATATATAACTTTTAACAGATTAGAATATGTTACATTTTAATTTTGTTAGAGTGCAGTCGATTACGGTAAAATCATATATTTGTATAATAAGTTTAAATAAAATAATAAAGAAAAAGCGAGTAAATAATCATATACTGAGTTTTGATACAATTAAAAACACGGTGAAAATTTAACATCACGAAATAATATTGTCGATAAATTATTCATTTTGACTATTTTTGTAGTAAAAGTAGGAATACACGTAAAAATTACATATTTACAATATATTTTTTGAAAGTCCGACCCGTAACAGAATTCATTTCGTAAAAAACATTATTCGTAACTCGTTTTATCATTATAATTGTGATTTTAACAAACTACCCGTGAATTATCTAAAATTTACATAGTTTGATATATAATATATTTTATCAATAAAAACTATGCCTCCAAAATTACATTTACGTCTTCAAAAAAATATTTCAATATTTTAAATTCTAAAAGTTTTATATATTTGAACCTATTATTTATAATATTTTGAAACTATTTGAAATTTTAAATATGCTCATGTAACAATGGTTTTAATATTGGTCATACTTATAATGATTTTAAACCATTGTCCAACATATTTAACCGAGTGTAGTTGAGTATTATATGTCCGTTTTGAAAAATTCAAATTGCAACATATGCAAAAAAAAAGTTAAATTTTTATTTAATATTTATATTATATAATATAATATCATAAATTAAAAATAACATCAAATAAAAGTGAAAGAAGAATAATATTTTTTAAATAGATTATATAAATTAGTTAGAGAAATATTAGTAAATACTATAATTAGTTATGGAAATAATATAATCCTAAAATTAGATTTGGAAAGTATCCGGTGTATGTATCCAAACCCATTAATCTATCCAACTTTAAAAGATCCAATTACAAATTTCGGGTAATTTTTTGAAATTGACCTGACCCGGAAACACTTTTTGTACTTCTCTTTTTCTAATATAGGGATGTTTCGAAGATATATATAGTCAACAAGTCATAGCTAGTGCACAAAACATAAACGTAGTTGACCATTAAACATGGAAAGCTCTCGACTAGTTTCGATCATCTTCTTCGTCTACACAACAATCTTCTCGATCGATACAATCAACTGCAGAGACAACAATAATCTTGTAACAAACCAAGCTGCTTTGTTCGTGTTCGGAGATTCTCTTTTCGATGCCGGAAACAACAACTACATCGATACTGTCTCAAGTTTCCGGTCTAACATATGGCCGTACGGTCGAACCACTTTCAAATACCCTACCGGAAGACTCTCCGACGGACGTTTGATTCCTGATTTCATCGGTAAAACGAAAAGACCCTAACTCTGCTTTTAGTTTACTAAATATTAATTGATTCTTCATGTGGCAGCCGAGAACGCATGGTTACCGTTGATCCCGCCAAATCTGCAACCAAGCAACGGTAACAATCAATTTACATATGGAGTAAGTTTTGCTTCTGCTGGCGCCGGAGCTTTGGTCGGAACCTTGCCTGGAATGGTATATAATATATATCATCACTTCTTATTACTGTTCTATTTCAATATAAATCTTGTTTTGACAAGACTTCTAACCAATTTTGCTTCTCTTTTTGACCTTTATGTACTTAATTAGAAAAACTATTAACTCTTGGAACTAATTTATTTCAAATTTATCTTAACATAGACTATCTTATAGAGGTACTTAATTTGAAACAGAGGGCATAGAATGAAAACAATTGAGTAGTTTCTATTTGACTAGATGATATTTTCACATATGATTTTTGAATAATTGAAGGTGATAAATTTGGGAACACAGTTAAACAACTTCAAAGATGTTGAAAAGAGTTTGAGATCTGAACTAGGAGATGCAGAGACCAAAAGCGTTTTCTCAAGAGCTGTTTATCTGTTTCATATTGGCGGCAACGACTACTTTTATCCTTTCTCAGCAAACTCCTCAACTTTCCAATCCAATTCCAAAGAGAAATTTGTCGATTTTGTTATCGGTAACACGACATCCGTGGTCGAGGTAAAAAAACAAAACCGAAAACTAAGTAAGAATTATTATCTTTTGGTCTAAAAGTGAGAAATATATGTTATGTTATCTCAGGAATTGTATAGAATGGGAGGAAGGAAGTTTGGATTCTTGAACATGGGAGCGTACCATTGTGCACCAAATTCATTGATAAGAGACCAAACAAAGATAGGAACTTGTTTCAAGCCTGCCGCTGAGCTTATCGATATGCATAACAAGAAGTTTCCGGATGTTTTAAGGCGGCTACAACATGAACTATCCGGATTTAGATATGCTCTTCACGACTATCACACTTCTCTTTTCGAGAGAATCAACAACCCTTCGAAATACGGTAACTAAACTTACTTGGTAGTTAGATATATATATGTAAGAGAACGATCTATGGTGTTAAGCTTAAGGAACATTTTGTGTTTTTGTTTGTTGATTTTGAAGGGTTTAAGGAAGGGAAGAAGGCGTGTTGTGGGAGCGGACCATTGAGAGGAATCAATACGTGTGGAAACCGAATGGGACCGTCGAAAGGTTACGAGCTATGCGAAAACGTTACTGATTATTTGTTCTTTGATCCCTCTCATTTGACGGAAAAGGCTCATCGACAAATCGCAGAGCTGATATGGAGTGGACCGCCTAATGTCACTGGACCTTATAATCTCAAAGCCTTATTTGAACTTAGGCTTACATAAAATTCGCCTATATGTGTGTATATGAAAATAATTGACTAGTTTGGTTATATCTTCTTGTATAATCATCTTAGTCATTAAGTAATGTACTTTTTGTGTCTAATTAGGAGAAAATAAATATAATTGTTTGTGATACGTGAACAGTAATTACATGTTGAAAGTGTTTTTTGGTTCTTGATGATGAAATATTGAGTTACAAGATAAGTTCACAAGAAAAAATGTGCTAGCAGAACCATTATTTGCGTTTACCTTTTCTTGCACCGGAAGTTTAGTCACCGGCTCGAGCAAACCCAATAATAATTCACTATAATGATGATTAAGTTAGGGTTTATTATACCATTCCGAATACTATAATGCAAACACTTGATTTTATAAAATCATATACAAGCCCGACAAAAAACTGTTACTATGATCGACGGAACTGTACTATATAAATACATATGTGATATGCGATGATACGATTACGATCCAAAATATATATCTTACTATATTATTTTGTCGACTTGATTTATTTATTATCAACATGCATCGTTAGTAGGTACATACTAGATAGCATAGGATAGACAAAGTCAAGATCGGTGTGTGCAATCAATGAGTTTTTTTATTTTTATTACGTCTGTCTATTTCCACCAGTTTCCCACCTTGGGAGAGTCACTTTGGATTACGTCTTCTTTAAATATTGTGTGCTCAAAATTTAGCAAACTTTGGAGTTTGAACACTTCTTATTTAAATACAAGTAGTGGATAAGAATTGTGAATAAAATAGACAGTGGTGGTCTTATTTTATTCTATTTTCATGTCGCTTGTGAGTTGTGAATAAAATAGTTATGATCCACAAAATCAGATTATTATGCAGACTCTATTAACTTACTGTAAAAACTATAATATTTTCTAACTGGTAAAAGATACTAGTATCATGTTCGTTCTATAACTAAAATCAACTTATTTTTATTTAATTCAATGTCACAACAAAAACAAATCGTCATATATTGTTGATTAAAAATTCGTTATATACTACTCTCGAATCACTCCAATTGATACGTGGTAAAACTTTCAAAGATCAATCTTTTATTAAAGAGGAAAAAGTCACTAGAGAAAACAGAACCAAAAAAAAAATATTACAAACTAGTAAACACATCAAGATTCCGATTTTGATACGGTTATACCCTTGTAGAAACCTTTAGATTGATTTGATTTATAGAGATCACTCAGTAAAATGCATAACCGCGGCTAGAGTCGCTGGTTTGGACAGTGGTTGAAGACGTTGTAGGCTCCCAAGACTCACGCATAGGTTCATCGATTGGGTAAACCACAAGCTCTCGGATGTTCATCGGTTGGATAACATTTGGATCGGCTCCAAATAGTAGATGACCGAACATTTCTTGTGCCTTCTCGGTGTTGTGACGTCCGTCGAAGAATAGGTAAGACCGTTGGTACTCACATAGCATCGAGTGCACGTTAGGTAGACCGCAACCGTAAGCATTGTGTGTCCCAACTCCGCAGCACGACGAGTTCGTAATGAAAAACCCTAAGATAGAATAACAGAGGTTTTTGTATATGAGTATATATTCACATGGTAACAGAGGTTATAAAGTTAATAAAAACTGATCAACTCACGGAAGTTCATGTGCCTCTGCGTCCTACGAAGAATGGCGTTGTAGAAATCGAAGACGGTGAACTGGAATCCAGGAGCGGCTTTAGCCATATCGTTCAACATAGGTCCGATCTTTTCATTGTGTTGCTTAGCCAGATCGTTGAGTTTTTCATAGCACTGATCCATCCCGGTGCTGTAGTCTTGTCTGACGATAGGTAAGCAACCCAATGGAGCTAGGTTTTGGATCACGAACTTGCTCGCTCCTGACGCATACAACAAGCTGATATCGTTCTTTAACTTGTTGGTCACGGAAGTGACGAAAGCTTGTTGAGCAGACGCATCGGCGTTAGGGTTGCTCTTGGTGAAGTTCAAGTAATCGTTTGCACCAATGTATATCATAAACACTGACTTCTTGATGACGTCGTCGTTCCAGTTTGCTGCTTTCATTTGATTGAATTTTCTCACTTGTTGATTCAGAGTCAACTAAAGCACCAAAGGGAAAACCCAATTTGCATTTTTATTAATGGAAAGCTTATTGACTTGAAGTCTGCGACCAATTAAAGTAAAGCTAATTGATTTAAAGTATGATGTCTTATGTAAAGTAAAACACACAAAAAAGTCCAGATTTGAAAATATTTTTCTTTGAGTTAGTTGTTGAATATGAATACTAGTATTATAGATACTTGATTAATATAAGAAAATAAGTAGACTTACAGATTCAACCGGAGCTCCGAGAAGAGTAGCATCGGCGACGGCGAAACTAGCTCCACGTGAGACATTGACGTTAGGTTTAAGAGCCGCCGGGATCTCGATCGGAATCCCCATGAATTTTGCTGTATTGAAAAAAAAAAAAACATTTCCATGTGATTAGTGAAACTATGCACTAATCTTTTTTTAAAAACCGTAACTATACACTAATCTTTTTATAAAAAACCGCATAACATATAATATTTTCGACGTTATAGTTTCAGTAATTCGTGAAAAAAATATATCATAATTGTTTACATGTTTCAAGATTTGGAGATTAGTAGTGTAAAAAAAAAAAAGAAAAAAAGAAGAAATACGTACCGACGAAGTCCGGAGCGATGAGGCCGTCGGAGAATTTGCCGTTGGGATCATCTCGGGACTTCCCGTAGGGCCAGAAACCTTGAGCGACGAAAGCTTTACTGAGAATCTGTTTGTTTCCGGCGTCGAAGTTGGAGTCACCGAATGTGAACAAGCCCACCGGCGGGATAAACTGTCCTGCGACGGTGATCGGGTTGTGGAAGAGGGTCAATACCAAAAATACCCCTAGAACACTGACTAGATTACAGTGGTCTGCCATCATCCTTTAGTAGAACAGAACAAAAAAGAACAGAACAGTGAGAAAGAAGATTACTGCTTTTAAGTGTCTTTTGCTCGTAGACAGATTCGTATTATATAAATAGATTTGAGTCATTGACAATAAAGAGAGGGTTCAATAACTAAATAATAACTCTCTCTCATCGGTACTATTTTTCGTATTTACCGTATATGTGCAAAAGACGATAACACCCTTAACACATTCTCATCTTTTTTTATTTGAAGTGTAACATTTTTTTGTTTGGTAAGTTTTTTGAAGTGTAGCATATTACTTACCTTTACTTGATTCTTTCTCCGAAGAAACGAGCTAAACTTCTCTTTAATCTTATTATCTCCTCCAGCATTTCTCCGGTGAAACTTAATTCTCTTCAAATCTCTTATGACAGCTTAAATCTCCGTCGCCGGCATTTATATAGTTTAATTCTGAAATGAAAATCAAACATGGAGGGAGCTATAATTTGCTGAAGAAGAAAAAATGGCAAGAACGAGTGATGGGATCTCTTTGTTAGATATAAACAGATTACACATATTAATATGTAAACTGATCACTAACCTAAGTATTTAAATTAATTTGGGTCGTTAAATAAATTATTAACGTGGATCATTTGGTGTTTATTTTAACTATTTATGATAATATTTAAAGTTATCGTGCACATTTCTTATTTTGAATAATAATTTATTACAGTGACATATGTATCATGCGTTACACGATGATTTATGAAAAGTTAAACGTGAATCTAAGTGTGTATATTGTATACTGAGTTAACACGATACATATATTTTTTTTTTTTAACTCATCAATTATTCTATGTAACTTTTTATAATAATGGATATCATGCATGCTTTAACAATTCATTTGCTTGTGAACATATCTAACGTTTGTCGCACAGTAAACGAGTTAGTTGCTAATAAGATTACTTGAAAAGTTAAATAATCGTTTACCACGTTAATTCAAAAAAAAAAAAGTAAAAGGAAAAGAGTTTGCTGACCAATGGCAGTTTCTGTAATTAGATTAGAAAATAAGGATAAATATGGTTTAACAATTTGGCAATTGAAAATGATAACGTGTAGCGCGAGGTTTTTTATTTATTTATAATAATCAATATCATTTATATATAGTAGGAGAAGAGGTGTTTTTGGATTTGTGATTTTCACTTCATTTCAACGGAATTTGATGAATTCAAAACATATACGATAAATTTTGTTATTAATAGTTCACATTAACTACGTCTGACGAATTACTGTTTTCTTATGTATTTAAATACTTTTTTTTGTTGTTGTTGTTGCTAATAGTAGTACATCAAGATCGTGCTTTTTTTAAAGGACATAACAAGATTTCAAATTATAAATATATTTCAATGAAATATTTTCTTCAAAAAAAAAACATATGTAGAAATTTAGAATTGAACCTCCACTGTTGTGTCTTCGATTTAATTGTGCATCTTGAGAAATATATCATTTGTTTAGAAACGGATAAGTTGATTTTTTTTTCTGAGAAATCATTTAGGTGAGATTGAATCCTTATAACCTCTTAAGGATTCCACCAAATTGTATCACTTTGTTCTAATAATGTGCATGTTGGTCCCCCCCCCCCCCC